ACCCTAAATATCCTATTAAAAACTCTTACCTTAAAACCCAGCACCGGTGAACTTGGCTCAGTCGCTCTCTCTGATCGCACACGAAAGAGAAGAGAAATGAAGGAAAAATGAGAAGAGAACGGTGGTTTTTAAAAAATGAATGTGGGTCCCACAATTTTTTTTAATTATTTTCCTCTTTCCTCTCTCTTCTTCTTCTTTTTTTTATTATTTTATACATAATCATTGCACCGAAAGCTGATCGCATTTTCTTCCTTCTTTCCTTCCTCTTTCTCATACCTTTTCTCTTTCTTTCTTTTTATAATAATAATAATAATTTAATAATATTTTATTTATTTATTTTTTTAATTTTTTAATTTAATTTAGAATTATATCCTAAATTAAATTTAATAATTATTTTCTACTAATTTGCTTACCTCTAAATATTTTTCAAAATTTCTATTAACCCAAATTAACTATTAAAATTTAAATTGGGATGTTACAATATTAATTACCCTCATGATTCATAATATTACTCCCTTTTATCATTTAAATTTTTTATTATTTTTCTATTCCTAAATTTTATGACCCACATAAAAAATATGGCATATTTTATGCTCATTGTTTTATTTTTGGCTCTTCTTTTTTCCCCCTAATAAAATAGACTCCTTCCCCTTATTTTTCTCTTTCTTCTCGCTTTAGCTTCAGTTTATAGCTTTAGACAAAAACAAAATCCCAAAATCCATACTCCTTTTTCATCATCAACTCATGCTGGTGCTGTAGTCACCTTTGCTTATCGTCGTCCTTGCCTAAGCAAGTTTCCATGTGTGATTGACTGTAACTACCTCTTTGTTCCTATGTTCAGACCTTGGCGTTCTTAGTGCGTGCCTTTACTTCTGCAATCTTCAATTCTTCACTCATTCACTTAATCGCTTGATCTTGATGAATAAATAAGGCTAATATGGTTTTGGTGTAATGTCATCCCTAACATTACCAAACACATAGAACATTAAACACAGAACACTGTTTTGATAATCAAGATTAGTCTAATCCCAAGATAAATAGTCATTAATACACAAAGGTTAGAAAATGTTTGAGAAAATGAAACCCTGCGAAAAACCTTTTTAAAAGATCGTTTGAGCTTAAACTATAATTTAAAACCAATTAAATAAACTAACAAAAGCATAAGAAACTCATCAGGCTATAATATATAAATTAAAATAAAATATTTCTAGCCTTACAAGCACCGTGCATCGCAGCGCAGTGCATTATCTGTCATGGAGACTGCATAGAGGAGAACGCCCCCTCTTTGTGCCTTACACCACAGTGCGATGGATAGTGCATTGCAGCGCACGTGCCCTGTCATGATAGCAAACTATTATCATGACAACTCTCTGGACCAACTTTCAGAGTACGCCATTTTGCCATATGATGTTTGATTCGAGTGATTCAAGAGTTCATATGTAGCTCTTAAAGCCACCTAGTTATTGGCACCAGTCCCATACCTAAATATTGAGCCTAATGAGGTTTAGATACCTAAACCTAAAATAGCTCATTTTCTTTTAAAATTCACTGCCAAGATGCCCAAACTCTTAAACCAAATGCCAATACTGCGGAACCACTTGACCCAACCTAAATGGATTACAAATAACCTATTCAAGCATCTAAATCATAATCACAATAGTCTAGACAAGATTTGGCCACCAAAACCCCAAGTTTCAACATAATTTCACAAAGGGTAACAAGTTCTCATAAACAATTTAATGGCCAATCTAACATAAATCAATACAAAACTAATACTTGCACTAGTATCTCAATCTCTCTCAGCCTTTACAGCATAAATATAACCAATCTAAGTCAAGATACCTATAGTCACAATAGAAATCATGCAAGTACATTACAAAATTATATATATGTCATAAGTTGGCATGTGCATATAATATTCATTACAAACTAAAATAGATGTAAATATTATACAACTTAGAACTAGTCTCCTCGATGCTCGGTTGCACCTTTCTTTCCCTTATCCCTATTAGAGCCTTTACTTGTAAAATATAACTATAGGGTAAGTCAAGGACTCAATAACTAAATAGTCTAATTAACTACTCGTGTATGAGAACAGTTTGAGCGTATGTGAAGTGGCATAGCAAAACATATAACATATCTCATAAATTCACACATATGATCATAGAATGATATGCATGACTAACACACCACCTTATACCCTCCTTATATCTTCTAATTGAATATGTGGGTTAACAATTCGATAGGACCAAGTCTATGTGATTGGATTGGCCCAAGCTCACCATTAGTAGGAGGCAGCCTCGGCCAAGAGTTCCTTCGCCCACTATGGATAATAAATTTCCCCTGTCCACAATTGCTAAGGGTGTCGATGCCCAATCTACCACTTGTAGGACTGAAATTTTCAAACAATATAATACTGAGCACCGAGGCTTCTATGATGCCAATGTACTATATGGATTTTGAAATAATGTCCTGACAACACATTAAGGTGAACTCCCACCCTCTCATAATGATTATGCCAAATATGCTTAATACACTCAACACATATCCATAACATATTATTTATTATAATTTCTCATTTTCACTTAAACCATAAAATTTTGCAAGTAATTTCATATAAAAATAGCATTTAGCTTTCCAAATACAAAGCATTAGAACAAGTTTTCATTCCGCTTCATAACATTAAAATTATAATTTCATATTAATAATGGGCTAGTATTAAACCAAAACACAACTACTAAATCAAACACACTACCATCCATACACACAAAAAAGGAGATTAAACAATCTAGTTATTTCAACCTTTTTGTCACTAAAACAGTTACAGTGGTTAACCAATGACTTCACATGCGTCTACTATGCACCTCAATGCTCAATTAAGGTTAATCTACATAATTAAACCTTTAATTGTCAAATCTTCTTGCTAATGACCCCATTTATAATACAACTAGGGGTATCCACTATGCTCGAAACCTCAATTGTGCCCTAACAATCCTTCCAACATACTGTATTAACTCTATTTAACATCCCAACACATAAACAACACCATTACATTATTCACATTGCTCTTAATCATCTAATTTCTATATAGGATTCATCCAAACTCTAACCAACAACTCTAAATCTTTATGAAATCCATAAATATAGGTTTAGAGACTTGATTTAACTCTCTAAAACTTTAACTAAGGCAATGGGTTCAACCATTGCTCAACTACAACCGAAAACAAGCCCCTAAATGCTCTAAAGTCAGAATTTTCACATAAAATGGAGAGGGAGAAGAAAGAGAAGCTTACCCAAAGCTAAATCTTTCTCCAAATGCTTCCAATGTGGTCCAATGATTGTGCCCTAGCAGAGCATGAGCTCCCTCCAATGCCCTCTTGGTATCTCTCCCTCTTTCTTTGATTTTTTGTCTGATTTCACGATTTGATAAGTGCAGATTTTGCACCTACGACGCGGTGCATTAGCTCATCCGCCGCGGCATATGACACATAGAACTCCACACTCATTGTGAATCTCTTTTTGTGCCATGACCCGCTCGTACTTCGATCTAGCCCTCTTTTGAGACTGTCTAAGAATTTATTAGCTACATTAGTTCCTTAAAATATTATTAATTAAAAATTCATTTAATTTAACTAAAATATTCTTACAAATAATGAAAATTCTTAAAGTTAAAATCTAAAATGTTACATTGGCATTTTTGGTGAATAAAGAAATAGAAAATGGTCGAATGAGACATGGGAGTTGTGTCGTGGCTTTGTGCCTTTTGCGACTGTGAGTGAATCTATAAGAGAGTCTTCTTTTGGGGTTGGGACCATAACTTTTTTATTTTTTGTTTAATAATGCCATTATTCATTCGTTTGTTTATGGCTATGCTGATTGTTGAGCATTGATGACAACCACAAGCACTAGGACGTGTTTTTTTTTTTTTTTTACTTGATATCTGTTTGTTTATGTCGTATTATTATAATAATTTATTTATATTTTGAAATGAAAATTGGATTTTTAGGCATCTTACAATGGAAAATTTTTTTAAAAGAAAAGCAACATGATTAATCTAATCTTCTCAAGCTTAAGGTGAATATAGAGATAGAACATTAGATCTAAAATTTTTGAAATTTAATTTAGAAAAGTTTCATTGATGATCCTAATTTGAGAATTGAGACTAAAAATATCTTCTTGTTATCCAAATTGTAGAGATGAAATTAGAAAATATTATTTGCAAAAGGATCCTTGCCAACCAAATTACCAAAAGAGACTAATTTTTTACAAAGATAACTTGAAAATACCTTTCATAGATTTAATCCTGATTGGCATCCAAAATATGAAACCTTGTAGGCAAAGTTTATCAAAAAAAAAAAAAAAAGAACCTTGAAGAGAAAACTTATGATGTACATTCAATTTTTTTTGGTAATATTATGATGCATTTTTTGTATTATAAATGTGTTTTTATAAGTGTACATATATGATGCCATTACATATAAATTTTTTGGGTCCGTCGCTGTTTCCATTAGATCTTCTTCAGGTTCTTCGATTCTTCTTGTTCTTCAACTTCTCTACTGTAACTTGATTGATGGGTGAAGGTGAACTCGTGACTCTTTTCATTTGGGAATCTTTGGCTGTAGATTCTTTACGGGTCATTTGAGTTGCCGCGGGTTGCAGGATGAGGGGTTGGATTTTTTTTTTTTTTTGGGTGAGGAGGGCATTGCAGTCTCCCGATATTTTAAATATTAATATTAAATAAAAATAATCTATCAATTTTATGAACATATTAAACATATTTTTAAATTTTTAATTTTATATCTATCAAAATTTTTATATCAATTTGTTATCCATTTTCATTTTTATAAAAATTATTTTTATTTTTATTTTCGTAAAAATCATTTTCAGCGTACCGTTGCATAAATATTTCATCAAATCATTTTTCCGATAAAATATTTCCTGGTAGATAAAAAATGACGTGGCCATTTTTCACCCTTGATCTCAAGCAACAAAATCTGAGGGAGTCCACTAAATCCTACCCGAAACTAGTGTAACGAAAGGGAGACATTGAGTTTGAGGGTTCTGGTCTGCCTCTGATCTTCAGAGCGCACGGCCATGGCAGGCTCCGTTACGAATAGCAAGGGTTCCCCTTTTTCCAGTCATAAAAATATTCGATGCCATCACTGTGCAGGGCCTCTCTTGAAAGAGATGGTATTTCATAACTTATCCTACTTCCCTGAATTGTTTTCGGTTTCATACAAATGTTAAGCTCGTACTCTTTATCTGCAGGAAACGAGTGATTGGACCGTTTCACCCCTCATTAGGGATAGCTTTTCTATGCTGAATTCTTCTCTCTTGGTGGCTTGCTTAATTTTATTATCAAAGTCAGTTCGATTTGGATATCAGGGTGGAAAATAAAATAAAATGTTGACCATAAGATACTAACTGTCTAGGGATGAGCACTTAATTTGTCTGAGTTTTATGGCTACCTGAATTTTAAGCCATCATTTTTTGGATTCAAATTTTGTGCAGATTGGCTCAGCGGTTGGCGGCACAGCAAGTGCATTTTATGGATTTAACCACGGTATGTTAGCCATTTTTTATTTGTAGTTTGGATTGAATAGCACGATGAATGAGATCATTTCTGTTGTACTACTTTGTTCATGGTATTTATATAAAGACAGTTGATGTTTCAAAGTGAAAGAATGAGAATTTAAGTTTCATATTAATGACCAACACAATTACTTTCAAACAAGAAACCCATAAACATAATGTTTTGCTCCCTTTCATAGATCATTGCACTTCTGCCACAGACTTCCTGAAGTTCGTTGAGCTCACACATTATTTACATGTGTAGAGTATGAATTATTTATTTGAAGAGGTTTTCTTCTTGTCTAATGCAGTTGTACCTGTTGTTCGAACATGGGTAAAAGGACTCATGTGGTTGCATTTTCTCATTGGTGTAAGTTTCTTACTACTCAATTCTCCTTTTTGTAAATTTTTTATTCATGCTGTAGCATGCAATGAAAGCATTATGATAGAAGTTTTGAAATCTTTACCAAATATATGGCCACATTTATACTCTTGACCATGAATTTGGACCTCTTTCTTCTTTCCTTCCCAATAAATGACGCAATAATAAATCTTTGGTGGCAACTTAACATGAACTGTTTAGTGCACAGAATAGCCACAATTCCACAAATCCCCTATAGTAATTCTTGTTGGGGGTGAAACAATTAGACCATCATTGCATTTCTTCTACATGTGAGCGTTGCGACTTTTAACACAGCTATTTTTATTGGATTGCCTGACTATCTTTATGGACCATTGCATTTATCCATTCATATGGTGTCAACAGAAGAGCCCTTACGCCCTAGACATCCTTTATTTCTTCACTGTTCTATAAATTATTTTCCTCTTCAAACCTGTTATAGAAAGCAAGAAACGGATATCTCATTCTGCAGTTGTTAATTATTTCTGCTGTTAAATTTTAAAACCGAAGAGCTTTTTCTTGAGAGTATCAATTTGTGCTGACCACGATTGCTACATACAAACTTGAAGGGATTATTATCATTTGAATATTTTCGTTACTTTATTAGGGGTGGGATGGCATCTTTTTTATTTTAAATATATTCTTGTACCAGTCATTTTGATCGGTGATTTAGCACTAAATCTGACCGTGGTTTCAATGACCAGAATCACATTCCAAGAACACCAAGTTCCTGTGGAGTCATTTCTTCTTGATTTAATAGCTTAGTTTTTATGGTAGGCTGAGGTTCCTATGGCTATTATATGATATTCAGTGGCCCAGTTTGGAATGCAGTTTCTTGCGCACTGATTTATGTGATGATTGGCCTTGTTCATAGTGATGTATTTGGGGCATATTTTGTATATTGGTGTATTTGAAGCTGAGAACATATGTGGAACTTGTACGCATATATTATGTGGCGGCAGTACTTTTAGGAGCATACTTTCTGCCTATTTAATGTGTTGAATGCTACTATTTTAGTCATCAACTTACTGACATGGACCTCTGTGCAATTCAGACACCACCTGTGATTGTATTCTCTTCAGCCTGTGCAGGTCTGACAGGTAAATCCCTAAATGAGTTGTTTTGCTCAATTTACATGCTCTAAATGATCTTTAATTTTGAAGTCTTGTACTATTTTTTGTTTGGTTAAATTTAATGCCGAAATGGTCCCTTGTTTATTTCGTTTCACAAGTGCCATAAATTGTCATATTGATGAACTTAGTTGATCGGTTGATGTTGAGATGACTGTAAATATGCCTGAAGGTAGTTGGCTTTCTAACTGTCCAATTTCTGAAAATCCTAGATGAAGATTAAAACTAATTTTGGGGAAAAAGAAGTGAATAACTTGCAAAATTAACAACTATCCGGGTTCATCTTAACAGCGACTTGTTTGGTAGACGTCACTTTATGGTTACTTGTGGGAAAACATAAGGAAACAGGAACCACTTTAACACATTTTAAATTTAAGGGACTAATATAAAACTTTAGATTTAAGGGACTAATTTAAAACTTTAGATTTAAGGGACTAGAAGATTAATTTTACCAATTTTTTTCACATTTAACAATTTGATGTGTTCAAACGCTAAATTGTGTCTGAGGATGTACTTGCCCTCATGATGATTTGTGTTTGTGATGCGATGGCCTTTCAGTTGACACTAATTTTAAGTGGTCTCCATCAGCCGGAGCGCAGTAAATAAAGGAGATTCAAAAATCATTTTCATGTTCATCATGCAATCATTTAGCATTTAGGCCACCCAAGAGTGCATGTGCATGGAAAGATTTGGCATACCCTTGAAAAATCATTTTGATGTGGATTTACCAATTAATGTGCTCTGTTAATGATATCATGGCTAAAAAAATCCGCAGGTGGGGCTGTTCCTGCTGTAGCACAGCTCATTTCATCGTCTTATCATGCAGCATGGTCATCCCGTACTCTACCTCCGCCTGCAAACGATGAGAAGATCCACAAGTCTAGAACTTCCGCCACTCTTTAATTTAGCATATACAACGGTTTTCTTCCCCCAGGCAGGCATACACACTGGTTGAACAGAGAAACTTTGTTTTCCTCTTATAAATGACGCCCTTCAGTTTTGTCCAGTTCTCCACGATGCAACACTCATGTGAGGTGTGAACCTTGTATTGAGATCACAGCGGCATATCTTCTGTGATTCATAAGTTTTGTTTAATTTTTTTGGGTTAAAATTCTTTCTAACAGCTTTATGTGAAATTCGGCCTATTATTTATACCTTTTTAACAGCTAACTAGACTGTACTGGTGTATTGTCGAGAACAGTGCTTCCACTCGAAAATGATTATGATATTTCAATTTCAATATTGATATGTTGGGGGACAAGGTTGAGAATTTGAGGATACTCCAATAAATATATCAATATATATTATAAGATTTATGCAAAGATTCACATTGTTTATAAGTATGAGATCTATGGTTTAGTTCTTATAAAATTTTGAAAGCATAGCCCCTTGGTCTCCTTATTTCTCCGCGTCCTTATTGGACAACTTCTTTTTTAGGCCTTAAGGAAAAAGGTTGCACGCACTTTTCTGTTTCAGATATTTTTGGATACATTGTGTGGATAAGGCTGAAAGGCCCAACTCTGTTTTATGCTCAGGGTTGAAGTTGATCTTGAGTTTTGTACAGAATAATTATTTATTGTTTAGAAACTAGACGATCCAAGGAGGAAGTAATACTAATTTATCGTATTCCAAAGGCTTGAAAGAACTTTTTATTTGTTTTTACCAAAATGAAGATGGAAAAAAAGAAGGAAATTGACATTGGCAGTTCAGTAAGTTGTAACAGGGCAGCAGCTTGTGGTAGCATTATTTGTAATGAGAAAGGAAATTAGATCACAAGATTCTCAAAATAAGTTGTTTGATCACAAGTGATAATATCAATTATTAAATTGTTAATTTTACTTATTAATATACTAATATCAACTGTAAGTTATTGATAGGTCTGTAATTTATAATTAATGTTAGTAAATTAATAAGTAAAATTGGCAAAAAAAAAATTGATGTTGCTGCTTGTCTAATAAATTAATATAATTTATAACTCATATTGATAAATTAACATGTAAAGTAAGAAAATTAACAACTGATAATTATACGTCTCGAACAATATTAACAAGTGAATGATACTTTGATCCTTTTCATTATTAAAATTATTTTCACTTCAATCCTTTTGAATTGAATTGAAATTTTAAATTTTTTTAAAACTCATTAATAATTAAGGATTTGTTTGGTTTTCAATTAGGATCTCCAAAGGGACTTTTTGAATGAATTTTGAATTCAAATATTGTTTGGTTTTCAATTTTTTTCAAGAAGCCAATTTAAGAAGTTCTTTTAAGATGTTGTTAAATGTACTTTTGGCTAACTTAAAATAATAAAATTTTTAAAAAGTGAAATATTATTTGATCATACTACCTTAAGTTTAATTTTTTATTCTTTAATTTAAAAGATAATTAATTCATTAAAAATATAATTATCATTTAAATAATAATAATTAGATATCAAGTTTTTAGCATTATAGATCAAATTTTATATTATTTAAAATTTTTATCACTTTTTAAATATTTTAAATTTTAAATATGTTACATCTGTATAATAAGAATCATAAATTATCATAAATTAATATCTTTTTTAGTAATTGTACTTTCAATAGCATATTTTACTATCATAATTTAAATAACTTTTAATTTATCAAATTGACTTTTAAAAAAATATATCCAAACATAAATTTTATAACAATAATTAATTTTTACTAAATTAACTTTTGTTAAATAAATTTTTAACATATGAACTTTTAACAAACTGAAAACTAAATACGTATTAAGTCATATTTTTTATTTTTAGTTAAAATTCTTACATTTTTCAGACCAAATGATTTGACACTCCATTCACATTGGCCAAAGAAGAATATGAATGCAGTTACCTCTATCTTTTCTATCAATTTGGATTTGCCAAAATCCAAACTTCATAGTTCACATCAAATGTGGACAATATTTTTGAGGAAGGCGGTTAAAAAAAAGAAACAGAGAGAGAGAGAGAGATGTTTAAAGTTTAAACACCCCCCTGTGAAAACCCGCCGCCTGGGGGTAAATAGGGAATTTAGCAAAAGAGCGTACTTAAGTAAGTGCCAACCCTAATTGGAAACTCAACGTTACTTGATCTTATCTGAGCAGGGAAGGCTGGCTTGGTCGATGCCTTCTCAAGGCTCTCTCAGCTGCCCGCGTTGGTGACGGCGGAGCCAACCTTCGTCCTCCACTTGGACGCTGCCGGAGGCTCTGCCCCCAGTGGCAGGGACGCTGATGCTTTGGGGCATAAAGGCAAGGCCTTTTGTCGTCGGACCCTGCGGTGAAGACTGCCCGCGGTCAGAGCCCTTCGCTGTACTTTGTATCGCTTGGGCGGTGATGGCCTCGCGGGCTTGCCTATACACATAAATCTTTAATTCCTGGTTGCTTTATTTCTTTTTCCCCCGGTCAGTTGATTTTTTCTTTCGATTTCATTCCGACTCATTTTTATGCTATTATGTTGTGTTCAATTGATCATAGGTATTTTACTACTACTTGTTCAATTGGCTTTTTGTAGAGATAATAATGTGGTATGAGTTCTCAAACTATGGGACTCTGCAAAAGTAAGTTTGGACTCTGGTTTTGGTATGCTCCATGAACCTTGATTCATGGTAGGGATGTGCTATGCGTTTTAATCAACTTATTTGACGACGTTGTCCTTATATGCAATAACGTCTCCACTGACCAGGACATTGACGTAAATTAGAATTGTTGGCTCAAGGCTCATTTGCTAACATGGAGTTGTGGGGTCAGTCGTTTTTTGCTAATACGAATGATCAATGGGAATGATTGGTGTCAGTACCAGTTCGATTCACCTATGAAGGACGAACTGGAAATATTTACGTTTATGGACAGTTCTGTGTCAACTCGTGCTCTATATTCTATAACATTTTTGTGGCAGTTTCCGTGCTGATTCGCTAGGGTCTGTGTCTCTGGAAGGGTGTATTTGAGTCAGAATAGTTGCAGCTTCAACTCACAGTGGTTGAGGTAAAATTCAACAAGAGGTCTTTCCCAGGATGAATAAAAAATGGTGATTATCCGAAGTAGAGCACTTGGTAGTGAAGTTGGAAGTCCTTGTCCGTAAGGAGGTTATGCATGGTCTCACGCTCAAGAAGTTAACTTTATCTCTTTTATAACCCTATCTCTCCTTGAAGTGTTCGACAAATTATGCTGTCGAATCTCCAGCTGTTCGTGTTCTAATAGACAGGGGGTCATTTTTGCGTTGAATTCCCATTTCAAGCTTTTAGGTTACTGCTGCCTCTGCCTTTTCACTGTTATAACAGCATTATTGATCTGTACTCGCATATTGTTTCTTCAACATGAAAAGGTAGAACAAGTTGTTTCCTCACTGATTTTGTTAATGGTTATTTCCTTTACATAATTACATATTCATATGAATGTGCCATTGTTGGCTTTTTGCTCACCACACGACTCTGGCCTCTCTGAATATGTCATGTTCGCTCACTAACCAGTTTCTGTAAAATAAAGATATTGCCATGAAATTGTACGATGTAGTCTAGACTTTTGTTTTATCCTTGCATGAACTTCAATGAGAATTAACTAGGAAGTTCAAACGAGTGAGGTCTGCCATTGCGGCATCAACTATCTAAACCATCCATGATAATTGTTAACTAATCTCTTCATCTTGCTATATTTTTCAGGGTACCCAATTTGTAGATGAAAGTTTTTAGTATTATGCTCCTAGATTTATGACTAGATAATCGATTTGTTTTGTCGAAACATTCTTCAGATGCAGCGTATGAAGCAGGATGATTGCATTTAGAATAAAATTGTGACAATTGAGTTGGTGAATGTAAACCAACTGAATTAGGATAGATTGAAGTTTGAGATCAGTGATTAAAAAACCAAATTAGATCAGATGATTAAACCGATGCATCCATCAACTAGTTTGGATTTTGACTCTATTAGCATGTAAAAATTGTTTTGGAGGTTTGAACTTGATTTAGTCGTTTTGGATTGGAAACAGGACTCAATTTTCAAAAATCAATTTGTTAATTTTTTAAAAAAAAATCAATTTTTTTAATCATTTGATGTTATATTGTATTATATGATTTGTTAAATCATAATAAATTTAAAATGTTTAGTTTTGTTTTTAAATTAAAAGGTAATTTCATATTTATTTTTTAGATTTAGATTATTATCTATATATATAATTTTTTTAATTAAATAATTACAATTGAATCATGCAAAATTGCAAATGGTGAATTGCTACCCTTCCCGATTCGATTTTAAAAATATTGCTCATGACTATATATTTTCAGAAGTAGCTTTCCAGATAGAAAATGAAGGGAAATTTTTATAGGTAATGGCATTTCGCATGATTTAGATAACCAAGTACATTTTGTTTTGGTTTCCATTTCAAAGGGCATGTAATTCAGAATACATGATAATCACATTTAAACCATGCATCTCAAAGCAGAAGGTCATCCACTTAAGCCTGCTTCTACCCTTGTACCCACCAAATTCAACCACCGCAAGACTCTCGTTTCGCCATAGACCAAATCACACTGCATCTGTCAAAAGCGACTAATCCCGGCAGGCCCTGTTTGGTTCACATGAAATGAGGTTCAAGAAATGGAAAAGGAAAATACAATTCCTATTGTTGAAATATTGGTACAAGGATTAAGGAGGGCGTGAAATGTGGAAAAAAGTTGGGCTTGTCAGGACGCTTGCAGCAGTCGTAAGAGGCTTTTTTTTTTTGGGTTAAAAAATTGTTGTCAATCAAAAAAATAAATAAATAAATAAGATACTTTTGTACGTAGACAAGTTGGGTGGGACAACATTGATTGTACTGTTAGCAACGAGGGGAAAAACACCGTAGAAATATTATTCGTAAAGAAAGGCCAGTCTTCAATTTTTAATTTTTATATCAAATTTTCCCATAAAAAAATCTCGCTTGCCTGCTTGGATGCGCCCCCCCCCCGCGCGCGCTCGTGTTTTATTTTTAAAATAATATTTGAAATATTGCTTTCATCTTTATATATAAATAACTTTATGTGAGAAATTGATGGTATTTTTACAAGTTAACAATATATTATTAATTACTTTATTTTAATTTTATCCTTTCACAAATTTCTATAAATGTAATAAAAGTGGATAAATTAGCCTATTAACTGAAAAAATATTGTATCCAAAAAATATGTAGGGGTGCACATGGTAGGGCTGGGCTGGGCAAGAACCTGCCGATGCCCAGCCCGAAGAATGAATGGGCTGCAAAATGCAGCCCGAAGCCCAACCCTGCCTACAAAATGCCCTATTAGTTTGGGCTGGGCTGGGCTGACTGGGCAGCTTTGCCTGGCCCATCAAATAATCGCCCTGCCCATTAAATTCACAAATCTTTTTATCATTTTGAAATAAAACTTTCACAAATCAACAATAGTCTTATGCATTAACTCAAAATAGCATCCATAAATCCACAATAATAATGACAATCACAATATCTAATTATCCATAATTCAACACCCTACTTGAAAACAAGTCTTGGCACAATATCAAATTATCCATAATTGAATCCAAAATAACAGTTATGATCATTGAAAACAACAAATTTCACAAAAGCTTGGAGCATCATATGAGAAACAGTAATTTGAAAGAGTAGACTCCAATTAACAAAAGACTTCTTCCTAACTCCCAACCTGTATGAATGGAAGAGGAAAAATATGTCATAACTAAACAGATTAAAATCCTTATTCAAGAAAAATGCATAGTAAATCTTGAATGGAGTAAAAGGAAACTCACATGCAAGCCAACATTTGCTTTGGAATGCATCAGATCTGCCCTCCTCTAGATAAAAGGGGTCAAAAGAAATGGAATCTGCAGTAGCCGAAGCATAACTTTGGTAAATAGCAAAGCAGAATAAAGGGGCCAGCAGGGGGCATGCATGCATAAGGGACCTATCACTAGTGTCCACTTCATCCAATTTAACCAAATTTACACACTTGCTATTTAATTTTTCAAAGAGTTAATAAAGGGTCAAGATATACTTGTGAAGAAACACTTCAATCAACACTAGCAGTCGCATTCTCCCCTCCAAGTGTTGCATCTAAAGACAAAAAAAAATTACATTAATATAAAAACTAAAATAAAGGGTGTATGTGTGCATGTGTAAACTTTAGAAAAAAAAATTGTTACTTGTAAGCTGAATAATATTTTCTGTCTCATTAAAGTTATCAAACTCATGGAGCTTATCAACCAACTCAGATAGAGATTGCCCACTTTGCAGCCAATTTTCCCACAAATCAATGCTTCTGTCATTTTAGGAGATAAAGAACTTCTATATTGATCAACTACACGTCCACCAATACTAAATGCAGACTCAGAAGCCACTGTAGAAACTGGCATAGCCAATACATCTCGTGCCATATGGGATAGAATTTTATATTTTTCAGAATTTGCTTTCCACCATGATAATATGTCAAACTCAGAATCAGATGATGAGATTTCAGCTCTAGAATCAGTTGCAAATATCTATCTAGCTCACTTTGTGGATCCATTGAAGTTCTTTTCTTCAAAGACTCTAACCACATTGCCCCTGGATCCTCAATGTCATCATCATCATCATCATCATCAAGAGAGGGCAATGAACTTGTAAATGCATTACTAACATGGGTAGGCCCTGATTCAGTAGAAATCCCAACAGAATACTCATCAAACAATCGATACAAACAAGTTTTGACCTTATCCATCATCAATGCACATTCTTCAGGGTTACTGAAAAGGAGTTCAAACATGTGATTTACATAAACTAATTTGTACGAGGATCTAAAATCACAGCCACAATCAATAATGGATTCATATTATCTGCCTGACCCCAATACTTATCAAACTTCATATGCATCTTAAAGCTCATATCTGCCAAAAAAGTATTGCTACTATTTCCAATATGCTTCTGCAACATTTTCTGAACACGAGCAATTTGATGAAAACAATCATTTGATGTTACAATAAGGGAGCTTGAAAATTTCAAAGTTATGTCATAAAAGATCTTTAAGAATTTGATGAAGACTTTAGCATTTTTTCCAATCATCAAGAATAGGGCCAGAGAAAACACCTCCCTCTTGCTTAGAGTTAAAGAATGCAATATAGTCATCATCTTCATCACGCATCCGCTCAAACACCTTTTGAAACTTCATTGCAGCTTCTAACATCAAATATGTTGAATTCCATCGAGTGCTAACATCAAGGCAGACAAGGCTCTTAGTTTTTATTTTTTCAGATTCAACCCAATTTTTAAACTTTAGAAACCGTGAAGGAGAAGACCGAACATATCTCACAGCACTTCGAATGGCTTCAAAACTATCTTTCATATGTTTGATGCCTTCATTGACCACCAAATTAAGAACATGTGCACAACATCTTAATTGTAGATAGTCTCCTCCACAAATTAAGCCCTTCCAACTTCTCAACCTCCTTTTAAGATATCCCAAAGCCGTGTCATTAGATGAAGCATTATCCATAGTTATGTTAAACACCTTATCAATACCCCAATCCAACAAGCATTGCTCAATGGTCTTCCCTATAGTCTCACCTTTATGATTTTCAATCATAACAAAACTTAGGATCCTTTTGTGAAGCTTCCATTCATTGTCAATAAAATGTGCCGTCAAACACAAGTAATTGAAATTTTGGTTTGACGTCCAGCAATCTGTCGTGAGACAAACACGCTTAGAACATTGCTTCAAGATCTTCTTTAGCACTTTTACTTCACCAAGATATAGCTGCCACACATCCCTCGCAATTGTTGTTCTTGAAGGGATTGGAAAGCGAGGTTCAAACTCATTTAACAACTTCTTAACTGCAGGCTTCTCAACAATTCTGAATGACTGCTCATCACAAATAATAAATTCAGCAAGAGCTCTTCTACACCTTTTCTCATCATATAAGTGAGTGACTAAAGATTTTCCTTGCCCACTTGTCCTACCAGATAACAGATTTATCATTGCTTGTTTCTTATCTTTAGTGGCCTTGTGAGGGTTCTTTGGACACTTTGGGATGTGCCTCAACAAAGAATGTGTCCCATGGCGTGATGGATCAGAAGCATAAGTCGTGTGACAATACTTGCATGTTGCTCTATGCTCCCCATTAGTTTCTTCTATAGGAAACCTAACAAAGTAATCCCACACCTCTGATGTATGTTTGGGTTCCTTTTCTTTCCTTTTTCGACCCCTTCTCTCAGTATCTGTCACTTGTGTGACATGTTCTGTGGGTGTTTGGGTGGGAGGAGCATGAGGGGGAAGAGAAGGAGGTCCAGGGGAGGGACAGATTGAGGGGGAGGGGCTGCTATTTGTGTAGGAGGAGTATGAGTTGGGGTTTGTGTAGGTCCGGTAGGGGTTGATGAATGGGAAGGTCCAGTAGGGGTTGGTGTTTGAGATGTCCCAGAGGGTGATGCAACTGAAGCTTGATCCTCCATGCTAGCATAACAAAATTACAGAAACAAACCATAAATTTCATAAAAAGACAAAATCAAGCTTATTATCCAATGACCAATCATATAACAATCACAAAGAAATACACATAACATTAACAGAGATGCAGAAGAGTCATTTTGGAATAAAATTCATTTATCAAATCATATAGCAATCAGATAAATAACCCCCCTCATTTTGCAATAGCCAATCAGATAAAGTGTGTGCAATGTATTATGTAAGTAACATTAATACATTATAACATATTCATGAACAGAGCATTTTTTCCAGAATTGTCTCGTATCAGAATTTTCATCAACAGAGCATTTTTTCCAGACAGAAACAAATCAAATCAAATAGACTACTATGAAAATGTACTAAAAGAATAAAGAAGAACAAATTGAAAAACCTGGGCAGACGCGAACTGATCAAGATTTAAGAGTGGAGATAGAGATGAGTGAACAGCAGAACAAGTAAACAGTACACACGAACAGCACAGACAGAATTGGAAAACACACAATCAACCAACATTGATGCCTATTAGGAGGAGAAAATAGATGCGTGTTGCTTTTAGTAGGGTCTTTGGCAGTCGGAGGGGTGCAACGTTTTTTACTATTACAAACTTCTGGGAGAGACCAGCAACCTCTTAGAGCTACAGTGTGGTTCTGCTTTCATTTTCCTCAGAATTTTTCGGGCCACTATTTAAGCAAAAGTATAGTACCATGCCAAAAAATTGAGACTAGTTCTCAAGTTCAGTACTTGTAATAATATACGTTACAACAATCAAGTCCCAATTTTTTTAAAAAAAATACTGCATTAGAGCCCTCTATCCTAAAACAAAAAGAAAAGAAAAGAAAAGAAAAAAAGAAAAAGGTTAAATGAGTAATAGAGTAAGGACCATGGAGGTGAGTAATTCCGATTTCTGTAAAACTGGTGTCTAAATATTGGGTATAAATGCCGGTTACCTAGGGTTATTGCTTAACTTTGAGACCGGCTTCTATGCGTTCCATGAGCTGATCTGCAGTTAACGATCCCTCCTGCAGAATATAAAAAACCAGGCTCTTTCTTAGTTTTCAACTCCTGGATATAGTATGAAAGAGAGAGGAGACAGTTTTAAAGATATTTCAAATGTTAGATTGAAAAATATACTACAGCATAGCATCACAGCAAAAAAAAAATCCACGGAAAGATCTTTTCTATAAAGGAATGAGGCAGGAAAAGTTAAACTTGTGTGTGAGAGGAGAACAATGGCAAGCAAAGGCTAACGGTGGATTGGAGCTTGCGGCTCGTGGTTGTGAGAGGCGCTCGACACGATGACGACGAGAGATAATAGTAGAGAATGGAGATTGGAGATTGAGATTGGATTGGAGCTTGCGGCTTGTGGTTGTGGGACGCTGAGTCGCTCTCGCTGGACGCTGATGCTGAGACAGTGAGACTGAGATGCTTCGCTAACGGAGATTGCTAGGGACGATGATGGGACTCTGGTCTAGACTCTGGCAAGGCAAGTGGAGGAGACTCAAACTGCTGCTCTGCTAGGGTTAGAGAGTAAGAGGTGAGGGCGTGAGGTTGTGTGGGCTGCCGGCTGGGCTTGTCTTTTTATCCTCCTTGGCTGTTCTTGCTGGGCAGATGCAGATCCGCATATCTGGCTATCTGCACATCAAAAGTTAAAAAAAAAATTACAAACATGTGTTTCGGGCTGGGCCAAACGGGCAGGGCAGCATACCTTGCCCATTGCCCAGCCTACCCAAAAATCAGCCCAGCCTAAAAATGCCCAAATTATGTTGGGCTATTTTTTTCGGGCTGGGCTGGGCAAAATTTCACAGGGTTTGGGCGGGCATGTCGGCAACCGGGTTCCATGAACACCCTAAAAATATGGACCAAGTTTTTGAAAATTTGGTAGTATAGTCGATTCATATTAATAGACAAAGAATTTATCATTGATATATAAAAATTTTATCATTAAAAATTTAAAAATATATAAAAGGTTTATCATTGATGTATAATAGTATATCATTCACAAATATAATAAATTAATCATAACGCAAGATATAATAATATTGGATTGTTTGCTTGGTTTCATCCTATAACAAGAGTTATATTTGCAAAAACCCCAATAAAAGATTACATATAATAGTATATCATTCACAAATATAATAAATAATCCTATTTATAGGATAGAGAGAGAATAAAAGATTTAGTTCTATTTATAAGACAGTTATTAATTTTCAAAGCTCATTTTTACATTTTTTTCTTATTAAATGTTTTAAATAAAAATATCTGAGATTTAAGAACGTTTATTATGGATAAAAGTAAAAAATTATTAAATTTTAAGATAAATTTAATAAGATTTAAACTTTTTATTTTGATAAAATATATTAAAAATAACTTATAAATAAAATAAAAAAAGTATTTAATAAGAATAAATTAAAATTTTTTCAGACATCAATAATTTAATCATTTCTATTTAATTTGGATGAGATAGTTAACAACACGTATGTAGCGCAGAATGATGGAGTGTTCAAGTTATTGATTGATTGACTGTGGGGTCCCTTTCCATGGATTATCTGTTTTTATGAAACAAGTGAATATGTGAGTGCTATGGTCTATTCATCAGTTATAAAAACCTACTTTTAATTTATTGCCTAGAGATCAAGAAATGACATAACATAGCCCAGCAATATTTTCCCCATATAATTGATGGCACTCGATTATTTGATCCAAACGGGTTGCCTTTCCACGGAAACAGAAGAATCAAAACATGCAGGAGACGAAAACTCAGAGAACTACATGCTTAAGGGAATTGACGTTTCTCTAAGAAGCAAAAGCCACACACATGCATCAGAAACATTGCTAATTATATATACATGTAACATGTTTTAGCTTGTAAGGAATATTGGGAACAAAAATACAAATTGACCTAACCCATATTGGAGAAGTGCAAGGCTCTATATAATATATATTATATGAAGCTAACCACTTTGTTTTGTTTTATTTTATTTTGAAAGGCCAATCATTGGCATTATGAAAGAATAATTTGGTTGGAGGGAAGGCATATTACCTGCAAAAAGGTGTTAGATGAGCACAAGATTTATTTTATTTGCATTCACCCTCCCTTTGTTCAGAGAGATCATCCGTCCATTACCTAAAAGTCCCTCTCATCCCTCTCATCACTCTCTCCAGTTCTTTTTTCTGTACAGATTATTAATATATTTTTATGATCCCAATAATGATCATGGACTTGATTATTAAACACCTTGATGTTGTCTGCAAATATATTACTTTCTCCCTCCTTTCCATCTTTCAGTCTCCTCTTTTTGTTAAGATTGATTGATTTTGATTACTACAAATAAGGACGCCAAACTAATTGTGAAAAACAAATACAAACACCGGGAGAGGATTTCTATTTAAAAGCAAACTTTGAAACCCATAATTTTATATTTAGATTAACACATCCACTGTTCTAGACAAAGTCCAATTACACTTAAAAAAAAAATAGACTGCTTAAGTTTTCATTTTTATTATGAGAGGATCTGTCCACACACACATAATCAATATGGATATGTATATACATATATATTGTCTCTCTTAAGGCACGTTTGAGGATTAGCAGTTAAACATACACTCGAGACAACGTTTGAGCTAGAGACCCGTATCTAATGATGGAGCTGCGATAATTATGAGAGGAGTTCAATGATTATTTTTTCCAAAAGTTGATGATTACACTGTGAAATGAGGATGCAAGAACGCTGGCTCTCCAAATTAACATTTAATTTCTGCAAGTAGAATGGTGATCTTAACGTGGTATTGTTTTAGGTGATGACAGGGAATGGATGTTGACCCCTCAACAAAGGGGATGATACCAGCCAAATCCATCCCTCAATACTCTCATTAATTACACAAAGTGGCTGTCCCTTCCATCCCTCCTTCTTCTATTATTCCATTCTCTCTGTTCTCTTCCATGCTCTTCCCCGCAAGTTTATAACTTCACACACACACACACACACCAACCACTCTCATGTTTTCCGCGTGTTTAAATCCCTGTGTCAAATGAATAGCTCACTTTCTCACAGGCTTTAGTAGCTGTCAAAGCTTCAAGAAAAGGAAGCTTCAAATCACATAAAAACTCAAATGTTTTAGTTCTGCAAATATTTAGCTTCGGCGTTCAATATAACATGACATAAAATGATGAATAACGCCAATAACCTTGTGGCTATTCAATATATAATACCAAGTTTCTTTTGAGGAGTCATTAGTTCAATCCTCCTTGTTTACACTACAGGAAATTCATGGAAAAATATATCATGTAATTTAATTAGGTAGTTTAAATTGACTAACAAAATTAAAAAGTTGAAGAGATTTAGTTGAAATTTAATATAAGATATTAAAATTCAATTTCACAAGTATATATATATATAGAAGACTTGTTGTGCTAAGTACATGCAGCTGAGAAGGCTGGCATACAGAGCCAATAAGAAAACACAGGCGGTTAGAGGGGGAAGAGAGCGGAGCAGGAGGAGTCAGTGATTCTAGTGGCTTCTTTCAAATGTCCCTACCCTTCCCCTCTTTTTTTCTATTAATATAATTTGTTTGTATATCTTCCACACTTTTAATTATATTTCTGCTCACTTTCATACCCCACAAATTCAAATAGAGCCTGAGAGACAAAGTCTGCTATGACAACATTTTTGAAACCATCAAACTCGCTAATCTACCCACTGCCTTCACAGATAAGGAGACAAAGATATAGATAGAGAAGAAAGCTGCAAGGAGGGGCATTTCTGAGAAAAAGATCTGAACCTCTCTGTGTTCACTTAGATATTTGACAAGGAAGTTTTGATTTTTTGCTTCTCTGTGGCCATCTTTCTATTGGGTTCTATCTATACCTTGCAAATTTCAAAGAAAAACAGAGATAAACAGATTTGATTTGCTGGATAAACCTTTCAAATTCTTCAAGTTCTGGTTTTTTCAGTTCAGCTTCGGGGAATTAAAGATCATTGGAATGCTCTGAGAAGGAAGAAGGTAGATAGCTAGCTTTGCATGGCGAGTCACAGAATAGGACAGAGTGGTTTGTCTGAGTCATCGCCTTCAGGCCATCACTATGGACTACTTCACGGGATTAATAATACTCCTGCGGCATCCAGCTTAATGTATTCTTCAATAATTTCTCCTTCAGTTCTGTTCTGTTGATACATACTTCAAAAAAGTTCAGACTTTCTTCATATATCTGACCTGGGTTTTCATTTTCATTATGATTGTATATATTTTTTCCTGTTTCAAAGCAATCAAGGGTCTGCTTTTGATTTTGGAGAGCTGGAAGAGGCAATTGTTCTGCAAGGAGTAGACATTAGAAATGATGAAGGCAGAGCACGTACGGTTCCTTTTTCTACGATTTCTGCTCTTTTTCTCTGACGTGAGCGAAACAAATAACCAAAACCAACTCCTTGAAAAAGCGGGGAGAGAAAAAAGAGAGGACGAGCTTTTGAATATGTCTTACCATATCAGATACAGTAATGATTCCGAGGCAATAGAAATGGATGGCGTGGGAGTTACAATCTTAGAAACACGTCTTATAACTGCTGAAAAAGGAGGATTAGGTTCCTCCTCCTATACGCCTTCCCATATACTACAATTATTATTATCGTATGTAATTGAGGATCCTCAGAGGTTTTGTTTTCGTTTTGGTGATTCTCTGAGATTTTGCTTTTACGATTCTTGCAGCTTTATTCATATCCAGGCCTGCAGCTACTACTCTGGAAATGTTCCCGTCTTGGCCAATCAGATTTCAGCAAACCCATAGAGTAGTGGTATTACTCTCACCACCTTGCTTTCCTTCCTTGACCATTTTGCCTTCCAAATTCAACAAAAATCCACGTGTGTCTCTATATATATGGGGTCTGTGAACTGATCTTTGGGAAGATGATATCTTGATACTTATGCGTGTTTCTGGGCTGAAAATGGGTTGGGTATCTTGTATGACTTTTTGATGAGTTTGCTGATACAGGGAGGACCAAAGTCAGGAGGAGAAAGCGCTGATTCAGGATCAGCTGTTAACACCATATCAAACAAAACTGAGCCTCAGCTTGAATTTGAACCAGAATCTCCCATTAGTAAGAAAGCATCTTCTTCTTCAGACCTTCATCGTCATCATCAGAAGCAACAGCAACTTCAACAGGAGATGGCAAGTGATGCCTCAAGAACAGGCCCATCACAGAATCAATCACCTGCCAAATCACCTCAGGAAAAGGTTCCTTTATCTTTTCTTTCTTTCCTTTTCTTTTCAGTTTTGGACTACTACTGTTTTCTACTATTAATCTCTTAGTCTTTCTCTTTCCATGATCCCCAAAACCCAGGAAAAGTTTCCCTCTTTGATGCAATTATTACTGTTTTTATGATCCTGTTGTCTCTCTCTCTTTCTGGGCATATCTTCACAAAACAACAGCACAGATCCCAACAGCTCTCAGAAAATCAAAAGAACACAGAGTTTTCCTGATTCCTGAACGATTTTCTGATGAATGTCTGACATGAAATATGAGAGAGAAAGAAACAGCAAGAGATAAAGAAAGGGGGAGACATGTCTAGTACAACACAAGGAAACAAATCGAGAATCTTTTCGGTACTTATCAACGGTTCTCATTATCGTTGTGACCCACTTCTCTCAATCCCCCTACATAAACCCCTCTCTCTCTCCCTCTCTCTCTCTCTACCCCTCCTCAGCTCCCAGTCAATCCTCGAGTTCAGAAAGCTCAACAACCGCATTATATTACCCTCAAGAAAAAACAATGGCTGAAAATGATGCTTTTTGCTACCCATATCATATTGAAGATTGTTTCTCTCCACCAAAATGGCCTAACGGCCAGCTTCATCCAGAAATGCTTCCAAGAAATTCTGTAAACTACCCTTTTCATCATCTCATCTTGTTCCTCTAGGTTGAAACCGTAGAATTTCTCTTCTGCCTTCTGCGAGCTCAGAAAGCCAGAAAAAACTTTTTTTCTTCCTTGGTTTTCTTCATTTTCCCTGAGAAATCACTTATCTTTCTTAAGATGAATTCTTATTTGTGTTTTTTTGGCTTGTAGAAGAAGGGAGCAGGTTCTTCATCCGAAAAACAACTTGATGCAAAGGTTTTGAAAGTGACATTACATCATATGCATGTATATTTTTGGCCCCAAAATTTCGTTCTTTTTAATGGAGGGAGATTCTCTTGATTTTGGTTTTGCAGACACTGAGACGTCTAGCTCAAAACAGAGAGGCTGCAAGGAAGAGCCGTCTGAGGAAAAAGGTATTAAGTGGTGTGGCCCATTAAATCGTACAGTTAGTTGGTGAAGATTATAACAGTTACTGTGTTGGAAACACGAAAAGAAATTGTATTGTAATGGCTTTCTCTGCACTTTCTTTTTCATTTTCCCTCTATCCAAACAGGCTTACGTGCAGCAGCTAGAGTCCAGTAGGATCAAGCTTACCCAGATTGAACAAGACCTTCAAAGAGCCCGCTCTCAGGTTTCCAAATCATACTTAGCTTCTACTCTTCATCACAGTTATTGAAAAGTGAAATAAACTGAATAATATAATGCAGCTATTCATAATTATACATTTCACTTTATAATTATAACTATGTGGGTTTGTTTAATATTTAGGGATTGTTCTTAGGCTGTGCTGGTGCAGGTGGCAACATAAGCTCCGGTGAGTTATATCTGTTCATTTCACTGATATTTTCATATTACAATGTGATAGTTTTCTTGTTACTAAAGTTGAGAAACAAAATGAAATGAAATAAGGCATTAGAGCGATTTTTGGTAAATGCGACTATGGAGTAGTTAATTATTGAGTCGAGGGGGAAAAATTAGGATAACCAACATGATTAATAAAGATATTGTGGATGTATATTTGCCAATATTTTTATTATTTTGTCATAATTCACACGTAACTAAACATAATTGTTGAATCATCTGGATATCTTAATTAACGAAAGTAATAAAAGTCAAATTTGGGAAACCCCATTTTAAAATTTTAGTTGAGGTCATTGATTTGACCAAAATCTTTTGAGGCTGAATTCTCGTGGGATTCTTAATTAATTATAGAGGAATGATAATAGACCAAAGGTACTACAATAAAAAGATGCCAATGTTTAAGTAAGATCGTACTAGTTGTGTGAGCTACAAAATGGATATGAAAACTGTGCTGCTTTTTCTAAACATTGAAGATCGTTCGTCAGCTTTAACTGTTTAAGCGAATTCGTAATATATTGAAATGATGCTATTCCTTTTCACTTTTGGTAAAAAAAATTAGGGTTCTTAACAGGACAATGCCACTTTCTGGTGAAAAGACGAGGATTGTTATTAATTATTCATTTAATTAAGAAATATGGTCCTCGGTCTGTTTCATTGCTTTCGGACTACAATAACCAAACATACAGAAATGCTTTTTTTTTTACAATACAGCACCATATGTTTTTTCAAGAAAATAATTTTAAAAAAAATTATAATCCTATCAAACTACTTAAATTCTCTTATTATTGGTTGCTGTTTTTTTTTCTTTCATACCGATACATGATTCTTTGATTTTTTTATAAATCATTTTTATTAATTTTATTAATACCAATAAAAAAATGTAAGAAATAAAAGTGTGTAAAATTTTAAATATATTTTTATATGATAAATAAAAATAATAATATCATGTTATTTTTTTCTTTTGTGAAGATTAATTTTAAAAATAATTTTTAAATATTATTTAAAAGTTGTACCGTAATTTATAAATAAGGTTAAATAAACCTCTTGAAACGTGACTTATAAGTGGGAGGAAATGCTTTCTTCAGATTAAGGAAATGTTTTTCAACAAGTGCACTGTTGTGGAGCAGGAGCGGCAATATTTGACATGGAATATGCAAGATGGCTAGAGGAAGACCACCGGCACGTGACGGAGTTACGGGCGGCGTTGCAGGCGGCGTTATCGGACAGTGAGCTTAGAATAATGGTGGACGGATATCTGTCTCATTACGACGAGATCTTCAGGCTCAAAGGAGCCGCTGCAAAATCAGACGTTTTTCATCTCATCACCGGCATGTGGACCTCTCCTGCTGAACGCTGCTTCCTATGGATGGGTGGTTTCAGACCCTCTGAACTCATCACGGTTCGTCCAATTAATTAATAACCACTTTGATTTAATTTCCTATGATATAAACCTAAAACCTGAGACATATTTGAGGCCCGAAATATTGTTCTGGTGTGATCAGATGTTGATTCAGCAGCTAGAGCCGCTGGCTGAGCAGCAGATTATGGGAATGTACGGTCTCAGACATTCTTCACAGCAAGCAGAAGAGGCTCTCTCTCAAGGCCATGAACAGCTCCAGCAGTCCCTCGTCGACACCATTGCCGGCGGCCCCGTCGGCGACGGCGTGCAACAGATGGTCATCGCCATGAGCAAGCTCGCCAATCTTGAAGGATTCGTCCGCCAGGTATCAGTTTTTAATATATTTCTGATCTTTTTCTTGCTACGGCAATCGTGAGCAGCTAGCTTCATGGTTTTAACATCACATGAACAAGGGAACACAAAAAATGACATCTTTTTTGAGCTATACTATATTGATTTCCGGGTGTAATTATGAATTATCTATAGTACATAATTTGTGGAGAGTCAAAACAGAAGAAAAGGAAGATTTGGATAGAGCTTTTTTCAGAGGTGATTCTTTTTCATCTGGTGGGGAGGTGTGGTTGACGTAAAGCCTCAGGTGACATCTGAGTGTCAAACTTATTTGGAGCAATTTTCTCTTTTGACTATAATGAGATATATATATATAGAGAGAGAGAGAGAGAGAGAGATAGCTTGTTCCTGCTAATACATAATTAGTCAAATTTTATAATTGAATTCATAACTATTTCTTCATCTCGTGAGGTTATAAGTTTCAAACACCGATTTGTTAAGAAACTTGCTGGTTGAAAACGGAACTTTATAGCCTTAAGCTGTTATGATTAACTTCCTTCGATTCTTTTCGACGGCCCCTAATTCATGCTAAACTTTTTGTAAAGTCAGTTACGTATTTGTTTTCAAGTTATTTATTCTACCTGACGTGTGAAAATAAAAATGCTCATTTGTCTTATTTTAGAGCGTGATATATCGGAAAAAATAAAACGTATTAGCACCGTCCTTAATAAGTTTTGTCTTATTAAATGTTAAGTGACTTCTCTAATACAATGAGAAAATTATCTTGCGGCAGGACGAATAAGTCAAAATCAACCTGCCCAGTAATAAATATCCGCCTTAATTAAGTCCTGATAATTATCATGGTCTGGTTGACCCTATAGTTCCTATCATATATATGAAAGTGATCACATTTTTCCTGTATATTGGTTGAAAAGAAATCATAATTATTGCATGTAATTAAATCCCCAATACTTGTTTGACACGTCTCTAATTAAGAACAATATATGTTTAATTTACTTTATTGTTGCCGGGTACTTAAGTTTATTGCTGATACCTGTTGCTTCGTTGCTAAGTTGTGCGTTAAATGTTGAGTGATTACAAGCATTTGATGTAGTTTTCCCATCTTAAAATGTCGCCGTCAGAAGTTGGTTTTGAAAGTGATGGCTGTTGAATCATGAACCCTAGATGGACTAAATAATATATCTAACTATTCGAAGTATATATTCATGAATTAATAGTATGAAAAGAGAATAGACTATTTTAGTGTGTAGAATTAATTAAGAAAGAGGCCAATTAAGCTTCCAAATAAGACAAAGTCATGGATGTCAATTGTTTTGAATTCATGCGCTCCCTCGTGGATTAAGGACCCGTTGAAATTCCTGTGCGGTGGTTGGAGTTTGCTTCAGTCCGGATACAAAAGAAACAGTAGTCTTAATAATAATGAATTTCAATTTCTCGGTCGTTTCTTTGACTGGAATTAATTAAGTTGGCTTGGTGAATTGAAGGCTGATAACTTGAGGCAACAGACACTTCACCAGTTATGCAGATTGCTGACAATCCGTCAGGCAGCAAGATGCTTCCTCGTAATGGGAGAGTATTATGGTCGCCTTCGTGCCCTCAGTTCTCTCTGGGCTTCCAGACCTCGAGAGTAAGCTCTCTGTCTCTTTCTCATATATCAGACATATGATAATCTCATCGCATTCGGCGATTAATGGCGGTGGTGTTGCATAATATTGGAATACAGGACGATGATGAACGAGGATAATTCGTGCCAAACAACGACGACGGAATTGCAGATGGTTCAACCTCATCATCATCATCAGAATCATTTTGGCAGTTTCTGAGGTAGAATTAGATCCAACTCTTTAGTTTCAAATTAAAGCCGGTGGTCCGATCTCTATCATTATCTCATACATATTTCTTTTTTATTTTCTTATATAAAGTATCTGTATCTCTTTGGACTGTTTTTTATTGTAAATGTAAATCGATTGCATATAATTATATTAATGTATTAATGAATGAAGCCTGGGCCTTGGCTTAAAATTAAGAAAATATCAAGTAATCGCGAATGACGGACACGCAAGACACTGACAGATAACCGTTCTGCATACATGAAACCTTGTCGTTGACCTAACTATATTTACAAGGTCACAGATTAATTTTAAAAAGGGTAATATAATATCAAAACGCTGGCACACTAGAGCTGGTTATAAACAGAAATAGTGGCAGAAATTGTGGAAAGGCTATATAGAATATTGACTATATATTGAGTTGATATGAAGGCAGAACGGAAAGGTGATATGAAGGAACAGCATTGTCTATTTGTCTGGTTCTGTGGTGGTTACTGCACAATGTAATAATATATATGGTAATGAAGTGGTTGGGGAAAATTGATAATAATAATAATAATAATAAAGGAGGGGAAGAAGAGGAGGGAATTGCGGCTTGGGCTTTAGTACGTGCATGTGCCTACGTTGGTGAGTGCTGGAAAGGAGAGACTAGAGATCACTTGGTTTTGGTCCTTGTTTAATAAATTTGGTGGAGCTGTCTCTTGAAAATGAGAGGAGATATAATCAGATATTATAATGTAGATATGTACATTATAGACAAGCACATATATATCTACACACACATGCTTCCATGACTCGTGTTCCCTTTTTCTTCGTTATATTGACAATTAAAAGTCATTGTTCTGTACGCAGCCTGCACATTCACAAGCACAAAAAGACGTGCGAGTAAAAAATATAAACCCGATGGCGTGTATTATTTCCACTCTTCACAATTTCTAAAATAAACCAAATAGGAGAGTCGAGCTTAAATAATCTTGAAAAGTTCTGGGTCAAGCCGGGCTTGATCCATGTTTTTCTTTCATGGTGGAGAGGGAGCTTAGCTATAAGAGGAAGAAGAGTAGAAGACAAAATGAAAAAAAGAAAAAAGAAACGAGAGAGTGAGAGTGAGTTAATACATAATAAACACCATAAAATTTATGTTTATCTTTTATTTTAAAAAATACAACTATTTTTAGAGAATATATAAATTTGACAAAATTAATTAATAAAATTGAAATAGATTGAACATATTTTTAAGGTAAAAATTGTGTGTGTGTGTGTGTGTGTGTGTGTGTGTGTGTGTGTGTGTGTGTGTGTGTGTGTACTGAATACTTTTTATAACTTACTCTTTTTTAAAAGAGAATTTTGGGAAATAAATATCCTTTATCTAATACATTTATTAAAATTTTCTTTTTATATCCTCCTTCATAAATAAGTCACTAATCGATTTGTAAACCAGTTGTTATTATTCTCAAGATTGTCACTAAATAAATGATAAATAGTTCTAGAAACAAATTTACACTTCTAACATATTTATAGCTTTCAAATAATTATATTTACATTTCTTGATTCTGACGAAATAGGTATTAAATTTGTTTCTGATAAATTAGGTAGTATTTGGTTCTTATAAAAGTGATAGAGAAAGTAACCATACATTTGACAAAATAATTAAAAATGGAATTTAAATCATGCGTAATTGGGAATGTATGACAAAACTAAATCAAACGGAGAGAGTTGAAGGGCTTGTTTGGTTTCTGTTATAATGTTTTGTTTTTAAAAATTGTTTTGTAATATAGTTTTTAAAATTATTTTTTAAAATAAAACAAAATAAAAATATGTTTGGTTATGTTAATTTAAAAAAAATTATAGAATTAAAAAAAAAGCTGATAGTGATAATTGCAGACAGTTAATAATGATAATTTATAATAAAAATTAATCAAACTAACTATATTTTTCAATCATCATATGTATAGTGTGTTTCGAAAACAAAAAAAAAATGAAATGAAAATGACTTTAAAATGTTTTAATTTTTTGTTTTTAAAAATAAAAAATGAGAATAGCTTTGAGAATAATTTAATTCAAAACATTTATTTAAGTATGTTCTTATTTAAAAAAATGGAAAACAGATTTTGAAAACAAAAACTGACGAAATAAATTTGCCTCCAATATTCATGGTCGTCACGTTAATGGTCAAGCATGATCTCCTTAAAAGTCAAAACACTCTATAAATCATATTCAGACCCGTGTTTTCTTCTTAACTCCAATTTACAATAATCCACAGCGCTCATAAAAACCTTCAAACCCTCTCTCTATTTTAAAGAAAAGTGTTGTATACAAATTAAGAAATAAAATTAATACTACTCTGATCTGTCCTTAAATTTCTAATGTTAGTAAAATAAAGGGTATAATTTGTAATAGCAGCAATTTGGATTGTCTACTTTGTCTTGGAATTTTAAAATGATAAATAAATAGAAAATAATCTTTTTTTTTTAGATATGACGGTTAAAAAGTATAACTGGGAGCCATTGAAAAAAATTGAGAATGCTTTAAATTAATTGGAAGGCGATGGCTACATAATTATCAGTAGCCTCTAGTTGAGTATAGAAGTGGAACTTGCTGATTGACATGTTGAATATTATTACTTATCCCAATTATTTATTTTGATTGCTCCATCCATCACTTGATAATTTTTTATTAAAATCAATTCATTACTTTAAGCTTTCGGGTTTTCTACTTTTGGATTCATTTGGAGCAATAGGAATTAAATTATTTGTAAGGTTGGGCCGATAACACTAATCTAATTAACGTCCTTATCATGAGAGTGCTACGTCAAGCCTTTCCCCCTTGACTTTATCTTTATTTAATTTACTTTAATGCATACGTCCCTTCAGATTAGGTGTTAAAAAACACACACACGTTTGCTGGTTTTATCATTACTTTAAGGGCATGTGGTTGAGAGAATATTATAAATTATTAATGATAATTAAAAAGCAGAAGAAGAAAGAAGATGTTATGGTTCAAGTTCTCAAAACGGCCTCAGATTTTCTGATATATCTCCATTTTCTTCCTGCTTGAAGCCGCTGTAAGTACCTCAAAATAATGACGCCGGGCTAGGCTCTCAGGTTAATCAGTTGACCATAGTTTGGTCAAATGCTACAAAATAGAAATGTTATAAAATGGGTAATGCCAGATAGGATTATCTATCAAAATAGGATAATGCTATCTGACATTCACCATAATATGATCGTTAGGTTTATGATTAATTATTTTCAGTACCATTTGTTATCTTGCACACATATAAAGAAGACGTATCTCTTTTAGTTAAATACTGTGGGTACGGAGTCAACAGTTTTAGTACTTTAAGCAACAAGATTTTACAGTCAGAATTGGCCTACCATTATAATGCAATTGGTATCAGGGTTTTCCAGTGCATATTATCATAATGAGAATAATTTCGCACCAACACTTCAATTCACAACTTGAGCACCAGCTTCTAATAATACAACCAAATAAATGAAAGAAATATTATCTGAGGAAAAAACGGGAACCTGAAAACGACTCATCAAAGGAAGAATAAAATGGCAGGAAAGACTAGAAAAAATTAGGATGAGTAGGCGCATTCAACCAAGGAAAACCATTATTATTGTATTAGTTGAATTCAAGGAAGGTGACTCGGTTCTCTTTGCGTTGTTTTGTCTAGATGGTAATGCAAGATTTAATTCAATGAAAAATAATAATGATAATAATTTGTAAATAACATCCTTCTCGTTGGCAACAAGTGAAGAGTAACATTTGAAGGGACGGGAAATGGGAACTAGAAGGAAACAAAAATCATTTGTAGTCGAGTTTAGCTGAAGGAGGGTTGAATAGTCACACCATTTGCACACCAGAAAAAATGTTTGCCTCCAAAATCAATTCATTCGGTCAAATATTGAATCTAACCTCCAAAGGCACGTTTGTGTTTTGTCTTCCGTTGGCACCGTTGTGGGAAAGCTATACTACTACATTTTAATGACATTAATGGCAGGCATTACATTTTGGACAATGATTTTCAAACATAAATCACGATAATTCATACTCTCAAGTCAAATTCACCCACCATCCAGTTTGCCATACATCTTTTAATTGAATGAAGTTGATTCCTGAATGCTAACTAAGGGCCAAACTTTGGATGAAGTGAATATTTTCAAGACGTGTGGACCTTGTATCTTGCTGGGCGAAATAATGGAGAAAGACCAACAAACTTCATGACAGCCATGGATCTCAATCCCCCAATAAATTACTTCTACAATTTCCTGCAGAAAGATCACTAGCGGTTCAAAGTTTCTCTCCACCTCATAGTTGAACCCCCAATGGAATGAAAATTCTTAGCCAGAACCACTAGTCCATGGGGAAGAACATTTTCACATTTTGGAACGCAAGTAAATGACGCATCATCCATCCACTCGATTTCCGAGGCCATCAGAATCATGGTCATCGTCATCTGAATTGACCACCAAATAACAACAAAGATCACTTCACATTAGCATATTTAACTCTGATAAGTCATCCATCGGTATTTCAAGACCAACAGTATCATCTTCTAGCAAACCATCATCTTCATCAAAGTTGAACCAAGAACTAAGATCTTGGTGGCCACCAAGGTCCCCAGATACACCTAATTCTTCCATTGGATCTAACTCATGCAGTTGCAAGTTACCCAAGTCGCTCGATCCCTTCTTCAATGTGTCCTTCTTGCCAGACAATGGATCACTCTCCTTGCCATCATTATTGCCTGCATTACCCACAAAAATATCTTGATGTCCGCTTAGATTACTCTTTTGCCTGGGCTTTGTTTTAGGTTTGCACTCATTTCGGCTGCTGTCCATTGACAGGTCACTGGAGATGGAAATGTGTCTACTCTGGTCCCTGCTTTGGTTCCTATCTCTCTCACTTCTCTTTCCCTTTACACCACCGTGAGCAGGGCCATCAACATTTGATGCTCTTGAGAAGGAACCAACACCATTAACCAGCATTTCCCTCTTTTTCTCCTTGACAAGCAGAGACCCATTTTTGGACGATCCTTGTTCAGACGAGTGAACTGGACCATGGAACGAATCCTGCATACCTCTGTCTGCATTATCTCTATGGGGATCGTATTTCTCAGAAACACTGGAAACTGCAACTGCACGTAAATCAATTTCTTTCAAAATACAAAATACAAACGTTGAATAAAACTCCTAGCACAGATAACAAAGAGGAGAGCATGGGAGATTTTGATTTCTTAAAGAATACTGGGATAAAATAAGAACTGTGAAGCAATAGTACTTTATTTTGATTAGCCTTGATCATATCCATGTAGGCATAGTATGCCTGCCCTTGTCCTGGTACACGCCAGTGCAGTTTCTGTGATTTTGGCAAAATTCACACACATTTTGATGCGTTTTTAAAATTATAGTTACAACACTATCAATTTTTACATGATTAAATAGTCTCCGTAGTTATTTTATACAACGTAGCTTGGGGTTCCTATACCTAGACTGCCAAGAAAATCATCATAATAGAATTTCAAAAATATACATCGTGGTACCAGTGCTACAAAAAATAATGGTCATGCATACTGTACATGGAATGGAATGAGAAAAAAATAAACGAAAAAAGCATGGAAAATATTGTAGGGACTCTGAATAAAAACATTAAAGTTCAATAACAATAACACCCAACACGATAAACATTGTATATCTCATTTTTTTATGCATTAGAATCCCTCAATGCAACCAAACAGGCCACGAGTAAATATGATTCAAGAGCACAGATATCGTCACAAAAGTATGTGAAAATATAAATGAAAACTACCTGATCTTCCTGCTTCCACTTGATGGGAAACTTTATTGCAAGTGTTGCTGGCTGTCATAGAGACAATGCCTTCACCAGATTTTGCATCATTATCACGTGAAGGGGTAGAGAAAATGATATTTTGTAGGGCAGGTTCACCAAAGCAACTATTGCCAGTTTCTTCAAATTTTTTACATCTTCCAAGTGCACGCTTAATAAAAGACTGGGCATCTTGTCTTGACACCTTGTGAACTGCACTTTTAGAATTTTTGCTTCCACGACATGCCTGTTCAAATTTCATTAAATAGGAAGTTTGTGGTCATGGAATGCCTCGACTCACCCATTGAATAATATAAATACAACTAAACCTTCAAATAACAAAGCTGACCAATATAGCAACAGATTTGTTGTCCAGTACAATTATCCAAAGAAAGTTAAAGTTCATTCAAGTAATCTATTAATCAATAAGCATGTGTGCCCAGAATGAAGATACTGCATAGTCATGTCAACATCCAAGATCAAACAAACTGGCAAGCAGCTACTGGGATCAAGTCATGAATGAAACAGAAGGAGAAAAAAAGGAATCAAGAGGTTTTGAGCTTCTACATAGGTTGTTCGCAAATATGAAAACCACTTCTCACTGGATATCTTGACAAATAGTGAGGTATGAGAATATTACCATTCTCTTTCTGTAAGCTATCTCAATAAGTTTGTCATATGCAACTTGCTCGATCTTCCTGCAACATAAGCACTAAATGTTATTAAGAAAGAAAAGAAGTCAAGAATGCCCAGATGATGGTGAAAAACAAAGTCAACTTTTTAACATAGATAAACTCCGTACAAAGGAAATATTCAAATCATTATAGAACATACCGCCTTTCTGTATCTCTCACTTTCTGAACAACTCGATCAATTCTGTCCAATTTTTTCTTCTTCCTCCCAATCTAGTAGTCAATCAAAATAAAAGACAATGTTATATGAAGGCAGAAAATTCAAGGCCAATAAGACAAATTCAATAGATTTCATCAAGAAATCATGCTCTAGAAATAACTTAGTTTTATAGGTAATGCATGGGGTACAAACCTGTTGATGCAGCCCTTTCTTGAGTTCTATAATATCTTGATTTAAGGCTTCATCTTCCTCAGCCAAATCAGGCTGCAACAAGAAAAGTTAGTTATAGGAAGAAAATTCATGCCCATGAATTTGGTAAGAATCAATGAACTATGAAATTGACGATTCAACGTATGAAATAAAATCCTACCAAAATTTCCGGATATATGCCAATACTCTGCAACTCAAGCAGAAGCCTGTCGTCCAGACACATCTGCTGATACTGGACATCCGAAGAAGGAAATCCAGGACCACATAATTCAGCAGTTGGAAGTTGATCAAGGTCATTAGAACATATTTCACTAGTATGAGTGATATCAGAATGGGAAAACTCTTCATCTCCCTGCCAAACTCCAGTGCTTTGTAAAGAACTGGATGCATTAGGGTACCTAAATGTGTTAGATGCAGTGCTCTTATCACAAGATAGTCTGTCCAAAATGAAATTCTTCTGAATTTGAAGCTCCTCCTTCGACTCAACTTCAGAGTCCATTTTATCCCAATCTTTGGGTTCAAAATCAATTTGATTACAAGATCCACAATGAGAATCATCACTAGCACACTGTCTAGATGTATTCTTTGCTTCATTGGGGTGGTAAGATTCTTCAACTTCATCTTCTTCAATCAAAGCAGAAATAACTCTTTGGAACAATGGGGAGACCTTGTCCAGTCTTTCAAAGTCATTCTTTCCACTTAAAGCATCATTCTTAGTTGACTGTTCATCACATTGCCTTCTCTTTCTTTCCCTTAAACCATGCATAGCTTCATTGTTTACCAGAACACCCTACACAATTAAAATTAAATATTCAACCACAACACGAATAGCAACAGCTAAAAGAATAGCAGCAACAGGTCTAAGCAAAAATTGCAGAAGACATGAAAGTTATAGACTTATTCATATACAGTGTTAATTAATTACCAAAATATCATGATCAACATCAAACATCTGAGATAAACTCTTGTCAAGTTCCTCTGCAGAATTTAGCTGATGAAGTATCAATGAAAAAGGGTTTGTCAGAATCTTATCAAAAGACCAAGAATCAAATAAAAATTCACAACGCTGCATAACAAATGGAATGAATAATTTCAACCCCACAATTGCTAGTTGCTACCTGTTGCTTCAAGTATGATGAATCCTCCAAGCTGGCAGGGGCAAAAATAGGCTCCATTTTATGCCAAAATGGACTAGAACAAGCAAGATCTACATATAGAGCACCAGCAAACTAGTAACGTACAGAATGTAGCACAGAAAGTTATGCCGTCAAGGATAACAAGGAAAACTTGGGAGATAAAAATGGTTCAAAATACATACTGCTAGCATTACATGCAGAATTGGCAGCTTGATATAGTTCTTCACGATCATCACCACATTCACCTGGACATACATATTTCAACATAGGGTATAACTACATAAAATCCATAGAAGTACATGAAAAGAATTCATAGTGTGCATACACAAGGGACTGGTACATTATCCTGAACAAACTAAGCAAAAATTAAATTCCTCCAAAGATTTTAGTTATACTAAAAGAATTAAAAAAAAATCAGAAGATGATTACAAAAAACATTATATAACACAGCAGCTTTTATGATCCTACACTAGGCAAAAAGTCGTGACATAATAATCAGTGAAAATATGCGTGCCATTACTGCCATTTCTCAGGGACTTGAAGGACTTCCTTTTTTCTGTTTCCTTTTTCTTTTGCCAACAGACTTGAAGAACTTTACATGTCTTGGACATAATGAAAATAAATTCCAGAAAACAGCCATGCCTGGTTTCACAAAGGCAACATTACCGGAAAACTTTTTAGAACCATCACTCAACATCTGCCCCATATGGATCAAAACCTTGCGATCCTTCTGCTTTTTTGAAGGAGGACGACCATACTTGCTGCACTCAACAAAAGTAAGGTTTGATGACAGTTTAAGTAATTAAAAGAAACAAGTGCTAGACCTTGGAATGAATTCACCATACATTTTATTCTTATCATCAGATCCCATGTTCTGCAGCGGCTTCATTATAGGTAGACTCTCTGTCTTCTCCCTCCCTGAAGGGAGGCCTGGCCTTACAAAGGATAAATTTCTTCCAATTCTTCCTTGTCTCTGCACACAATCTCCAGATTCATCTATTGGAATCTTGTTCTTCCTCATCTTTAACTTCAAAGCCTCAGCTTTTTCTGCTGTTGGAGAAAAATCACTGTTATTCAATCCCTTCTCTTTTATTTTGTTTTCCCCACCTCCAGACTCTTCACTTTCAGATAAGCCAAATGGAGATGAAATATCATCAGATGGCCTCTTATATTTCTGAGTACTGTTATTCACACTGCTAGCCATCTGACTGCTTCCAACACCAGAAGCTCTAACACTAAAATCAGGAGTTGGACAGCCTTCAGATGAAACCTGAGTTTCTATGTTACGTGAAACAGGAGAAACTACATTTGATCTTCTTGAGCGGGAGTTTTTATGTGGCCTCTGACCAATCCACTTGGTCATTGGATGTATAGAAGAACCTGAACCTGTAAATGTAGAAACATTTGATAATTTGTCATACAGACCATGAAGACTTTAAAATTGAATCTATAAGCTTTAACCAACCTGAGAAAGAACCAGATGAAGGCTGAGTACTAGATGAGTCTAGTGCAGTAACTGAACCTGTTCGTGGTGCCCGAGAAACCTTGTTTTTAATCAGTGTGTTCGGACAGCTTGCTAGACAATCCTCCTGAGTGTTTGCCCTATTTATAGTGCCGTTAACATTAGGTAACTCCATTAATAACAATTCAAACACAAAAATTCAAATATGTAATATCCAAGGCCCAGTCTACAAAATATATTAAGGCCACGCTGTATCAAGATATGTTTACAACCTGCAGTTTGCTTTAGCTACTCTATGATCTAAAGTAGCCATGTTGTCCCTGTGAAGAGAGGCACCCTCTTGCTCACTCCCAAGCGTTGTACGCACACCTGAATTAGTAGGCTCTGAAGAACTTTCAGACTTGTTGATTCCACAAGCTCCAGGAAGAGGCTTCAATCTAAAATTAGAAAAAGCATATTAGCGAGATTGTTTGACTGAGTCACCAAATTAGAAGCGATCAACAGATACTGCAAGGGATGAATAAATTGCTCAAAATACATATACAACGAAGAAGAAAAAAGAAAGAGTTGCGGTGTTAAAAAAAAGGATTCTACATGATGCAAAATGAAACAAAGGGAGTCAATTGAGGAATCATATAATTCACAACTGCAGTTTCTTTTTAAGGCTTCAATTAATTTAGGGCTCATTCACATCATGCAGACTACAGTGCTCAAAGTTCACTTTTAGCTAGATCAATAGTAAATTAAGTAGATAGAAAGAACACGCATCAAAGCTTTATGAAGATCCCCTAAAACAAAGTTCTTGATAAAGGTAAAATTCATCATGCAATAAATATAAATTTTATGTTTGGTTGACTCAAAGGGAGAATGCAAACTTTTAAAAAGAATGAACCAGGCATGAAATGAAAAGAACACCAGGGGCATCAATATTAAGCCACTTATAATGGATGCATGGCATGGTAAAAAGATGTCACCCACAAATGCAGATAAAAAGATTAATCTGAGAACTACTAAAAAGAAACCCTCAGGAACACAAGGGCCCTAAGGGAAATAGAGATCATTAAGAAATGTGATCATAACAGATTATTATTGCTTAAATGTATAATTATCTAAGCATTCAAAGATGTTGGCATACGACCAGTAGACTGATCCAGAATTAAACTACGGGGGCCAAAAAGTTTTAAAAGTTTATATGTAAACAAAAATTTTAAGCGAAGACACATATAATATATTATTTATGTAATACTTATAGTTGAAAATAAATGTTCACTCGTTACACTTAAAACAAGGAAAAACCCTATAGCGAGGGAAAAGAAATAACTTAAATGCAGAATAAAAATAAATCACTTTATTTTCGTTTTTAATGCCAGCCATTAAACACACAGGCATCTAAATGAAAGGTAAAAAATAAAAGATCTATAATCATCTCATACAAGAGATTGAAGAAGCTTCCTGTTCCTCAGCAAATAATATTATAATATATACACACACAAAAACTGTTTGAAAAATAAGTTTAAAAGTTTATAAAATTCGTTTTAGATATATGTACTAAGCAATATGCTCTGGACTTAACTTTCGTGTAATTTCTCTGAACTCTCAAGCTTCAGCTTGCCATTTGTAACTCAAAAAAAAAAAGGTTTCTAAAATTAAATTAAAAATTATACCTTTTTGTCTTGTTAATCCATTCTAGATTTTTTTGTGGAAAAATAAATAAGATTGGTCCAATATTTCTATCAATTACAAATTTTTTTTTTTTTGGGAAATTACAGTCTAACTTATACCTTTGAGTGTAAATATGCAATGATAATTGAATTAGTGAGAGCGCTCATAAGCTCTCAATGTAAAATAAGAAATGTGAAAACATAACCCAAAATTAGAACAATTTTTGCAGCAATCTAACTTATATTTCTTGCCATAGGAGTCTAGAAGAGGGGATCAACATTTTAAGAGGGGGTCCCTATCCTGATGATGGAGACGCAAGGAATCCCCCCATCCCCCCTTAGATTTGTCACTCCATATAAATATTGATAAAACATAGTGATCACGTGTTGACTTAATTAACCACTATTTCCTCATTCCCCAAATGTACATATCTACATAAAATTGTCCTAGTAACCATACCAATAGCCATTACATGTATAATTCTCAGCATGTTCTGAAAGGCTTCCACATCACTCTTTCGCCATAATGAACATTACATTTAGTAAACAATCAATACACACAGAATCAGGAAGAAAGATCAAGCTACCTGAAGCCCTGAGGATCATAAAACCGCAACTTTAAATCTGAACTGGTCTTAGAAAGTGTAGCTCGCTTTACATCTCTGTCACCAGCTGTAACTCTGTTGCCTGCAGCTGCAACAGACCTTTTCTTCTTTATTTTATGATCTAACCCATCACCTCCAGCAAGCAATCTGCGAGTCTTCTCTTCAGTTCGGACTGAGCTCCCACCAAGTGTCTGAATCAGATTACCATCCTGCTGCCTCATAGTAGCAACAGACCTACTTTCTGCCTGGGAGCATTATGAAGTAAACACAATCAATAAGCAGAAAATCAGGCAAAATCACATAAGGAATTTTGAAAGCTGTCGCAAGCATCACTAAAGCTTCACTTAGAGTTGAGATTAGTAAAAGTGATCCCAAATATCTCATCCCAGAGAATTTTAATATAGGCTTAAGCAGCTTGAAACCACTTTATTTCCAAAAGCAGCATGAAAAGTGCACTATGTCACACATGCTTTGAAATGCATTAAATGAAATTCACCAGCAGAAATGGATTAGTATCTTGCACCGAGAGATGATGCTATAGCCATGGAAGCGTAGACAACAGAAATGGTCTCACAGTTAACAATAGCATAATACAGATACACACCCGCACATCTGCCACAGATGTTCGGATCCGCTTGTTCAGTGCAGAACTTGCAGTCTTGGCTTCTGATTTCTGAGTTAGAATATCACTAGAATTTCTATGGAGCTGGCTACCCATCTTTGTTAAGTTTACTCCAACTCCCCTGTCCGCTGAGAAATCAGTTCTTTGCCGCTTCTTTGAGTTTAACGCCTCCCTAAATTTATCCAATTTAGATATAGAGTCCCGCAACATTTTTGCTCTATCCCTGATCCAGTAATTAAATTTACAATAGGACACCAAAATGAAAATACTCTCTCAAAAATTAAAGGTAAACAATCCACGTATAAAGTATACATTGTCATTGCAGAAAGCAACAATTTAAAAAGCATCACACGGTTATCCAAGGTCATTGTTTACAGGTGTCAAAAAGACTTAGCACTCGGAAAACATTAGAAACATCCAATAATATATCAGAGGAATCTGGTATGAAATGGAAAACATATACCTTGCTTTTCTGGAAGTATCCTGCACGCTCTCTTTGAAGTGCTTTAGCTCCCCTGAGGCTACTGGGGCAATGGGTTTTGGATGTGGAACACCAAGAGAGTGATCTTCTGAAGTACTCCCCAAGGGGACACCCAGAGCCTTCCTCAGCTCTCCTGAACGAGCATTTTTTTTATTGCCTAATGTAATTGGATCAAGTGGTAAGCACTGAGGCAAGGGTGGCATATCTGATGACGTTATCCCACTGCTGCTGCTTAAGTTATTTTCAGAACCCAGCATTAAGTTGCTCTCGTTGATAAAGCTTGCAAGACAGGTGAGTGAATGTCTGTCTTATTTGCCCAAAAGTCAAATTAAAATTCAAAAGTCCCGCACTTAATTCTACATCATGGCGTCAAAATTACCAGTGCTCTATTAGGCATTCTCTAAATGCACCAGCATACAAGTATGTGATGGAAATATGGCAAGAGCCACAGAAGGTACAACAAACCCCCCTGAAAAAACACCGAATGTAGATTAACAAACTACAGCACTATACCAATTTTAAGTGATGCGTAGCAAAACACACGTTTCAATTTTCCAGAATCGACATGAGCTTAAATTTTTACTTATTTTATCCTATTTTTACAAAACGACCCAGCACAATTACCATAAGGACCAAAATACCCCATCGAACATTGCTAATCACTAATTCCATAGACTTCAAGTGCTAAATTGGAAAGATGAATAAAACTAAATGCAGGGCATCCAATAGCCCAGAACGACGAGAAGAATAAAATGAATACCCAAGAAAACCAAAAAAGTTTCTGTTTTCGCAACAACTCAAGATAGTAGATGCATTAAAAATAAGCACAGCTAAGAAACGCTTTGAACTACAAACCCCCAGTTTCCCATGAGCAGAACTAAGGATAACCGAGAGAATCAAGTGTTTTGAACAGCAAAAAAGATTATTAAACTTGACGAGCCAGGGATCGTAAACCCTAGGCGAGAAGGTGAAATTCTCTGACCAGTCACCAGATCAATTCGTAGAATTAAGCTGAGAAAGTAATGATTAGTCGGGATTGGAGAACTGAGAGGTATAAATTACCGGGAATTAAAGAAGTCAACAACGGATCAAAATCAAATCGTCGCAGAGAGGAGAAAGAGCGAAGCGAAGGGGGTGAAATAACGCGGGAGGGCCATGGACATTATCGAGTTTTCGTACATGCGTACACCGACGGTATACATGTAGTTGACTACTATTTTCTTCAAATAAAAAAAGTTGACTGATACAGTTTATGTTAATCCCCTGCCAAGTAGAAAACTGAAAACGGCGAGTGTTTTTGTTTTGGTTTTGGCCAGAGGGATTTTAGTAGTTCATGCTTGTTCTAGAAAGAAGCGTTGGCGATGGCGATTGCTATCTCTTTTCTTTTTTATTTTCTTTTTGGCCAAGATTACTATGTCTGAAACCGTTTTTTTGTTTAGTTAGTTAATTAGTTAATTCATATTGTGTTATATTATATTGACAACTTTGTGTGCAGTGTGCCAGCGTCTATCAAAGGAGGGGGGGGGGGAACTGTGTAGTTCATCAAAAAATAAATGTGGGCGTGTGGGTTGTATAATTAAAGTTTGGCCAAAATATCACTCAAAAAAATTATCGACTACATAATTAAAGTATGATATCAAATAATTCATTATTTATGAAATTATGACATACTTAAAATTCAATCAATTTATAACTGTGCAGATTGAATAAAATAAATAAATTGCATAAAAAATTATCTAGTTGTAAGGGCAAGATATCATAAGCCTACGTAAGTTTAGATGATATATTTAATTAAATCAACATTCAACATTCTTTGATAACCATCAATGTTAGCAAAACAGAATAAAGTACTGGTTTATGATTCAATAGTCGAATCATAATATGAACTATAGTTTAACTAGTCATAAATAAATTGATATATTTTAAATATTATATATTTAAAATAAAAATAATTATACATAATAAATACAAATAAGTTTTTAAATTTTAAAAAAAATTATATAAAATAAAAAAGTTAATATTCATCAAATCCCATCATTTTAATTCAAAATATATATACTTATTTTATAATATATAATTTTAAAATATACACATATATACCTATTTTATAACCATTTCTTATAGCTTTGTTCTTTTTCTTTATTTATCCATACTTATTAAGTATAAATATGTATAAATTGTAGTTTATAAGTAGAATTAAAATTTATGAAAAAAATTACGAAATTTTAAGAAGGAAAGGACCGTTCAATCAATTTATTCATTGGTTCATGTCCAATTCTTGACCGGTTCTCACTTCTCATATTGGACAATTTTCTATTATAAATGTACCAGACTTAAAACCTATTCCAAATTTAACCTATCAATTCGGTCCAATTTTTAAAACAATTATCATTATATTACACACAAATATTTATATCCAACAATACCATTACACTTATTTAAAACTTGATATATCCATAACTGCAAGGGTAAATGTCTGTGTCACTTCAAGTAATTCATTAAAATTAAGAAAATTAGTTAAATTACCTATCTACAATCAACGTGTCACGTATTTGTGCTATTTTCCACATATAACCATAATAGAGTATCTATGAAAACATTTTTAAAACTTGATATATCCATGACTGCAGTGGTAAATGCCGGGTCGCTTCAAGTAATTCATTAACATTAAGAAAATTAGTTAAATCACTTATCTATAATCAACGTGTCACATATTTGCGCTACTTTCCACAGATAACCACAATAGAGTATCTTCCGTCTATTCCTGATCAAAGTGGACTCAAATCTTATATTTAAGGTCAAAACAAATCCGCCGATTACCTCCTTAGAACCGAAGGTTTTACAATACACATTGATATTCTGATGGGTTTACGATTAAAATACTCGTAAGAAAGAATGAAACCCAACTTATCAAGGATTTCTTATTGCTGATTTTGAGGAGGATGCCCAAAACTAATAATGATTTCACATGGAGCTTTCAAGAAACAAATGTGATTTACAGAGAATCGGAGGACATTTTCTTTCCTTATTCAAACTTGCCAATCAACAAATGTAATGTACACATAATTGGATATCATCCTAAAACGATATATTTGGACAATAATGAGATCATCATGGCTTTTTTTTAAAATACAAATGTGGATGACAATCTAGGCCTATATGAAACATTTTCTTCTCCAAGTAAAAGGGCTCTTAGAATGGCCTCACACAAGCCACTATAATGTATAATCAAATGGCCACCATCTGGAACTTCATGATAACGGATCCAGGGTAGCTTCTCTGAAATAAATCTCTGGATTTGAGAGGGCACGACCTTGTCTTCAAAACCTTGCCAAATGTGAGCCAATGTAGAATTCTGAGGAAATGGATTGCTCAGCTCTGTTGGGTCGAATTCCCACTTTCCAAAAGCCACCATCCAGTCATGTCGCAGCGTGTCGAAAACATCCTGTTCCTTTAATTTCTCCTGCCAGTGCAAGCATGCCAACATCACATTCTCTTCACACACACCACATGAATGTTAATTCACCAAGAGAGTGCGATGCAGATTCTTAGCGTAGTGTCCGGTTCAGTTAAGTCTCGAACACTGCTATTGAGGGTAAAGTTTCAATTTAATCACATTAACAGCCTCAAAGACTATGAAACTGTTCAAAAGTACAAGTCAAAATCCCACGAAATGGTTTAGGGGTAACAGATCAAAAACCGTAGGAATTGAATGAGACGCTTTGAATTGTAGGGAAAAAAACTGATTTGGAGCAATCCAAGGGAGGGTAAATTATAGGGAAATATATAAAATAGACCGATATAATTAATTACCTTAGTAAGCATTGGGAACCCAGGAATTATCTTTAAAATATCAATATCTCTTTTGTTGAAGAATCGGGGGTTTCTTTCAATTACAGAAGTTGAGGGGAGCCACTTCTGAGTCACCCACCAGTGCAATAGTGTTGGGGAGTATTTTGCAAGCCACATAGCCCACCTCATAAGTTTCCTTCTATAGTCCTCCTTTATGAGAGTCTCAGGAAGTGAAGGCCATTGGTAATTGATGACAGGAGCCACTAGGGCCACACCAGCTAGCCTGCACAAATGAGTCTTGTGCGTGAAACAAAGTATTTAGTTCTCCGAAATCACAGAGCCAAACAGCAAGAAAACAAAAATCCATATTCTGGAGCATGTAATTTGCCTGTGTGGGATGTACTTCAGGCAGCTCCAGGTAGCATAGGATCCCATTGAGACTCCGACCACATAAAACTGTGGTCCTATCTGTAGCTGATCAGCAAGTTCTTGAATGTCAAGTACTTCAGATTTCAGTGAGCGTTTTGGGTTCGGATCACTTTCTCCATATCCAGCCCGATCATATTGCAGAAGATATATGCCAAGTTCATCTATTAGTTCCTGAAAATTCGGAGTAAATGTTCAACATTTGGCGTTATTGGATTGCGGTACGCTTCTTTAAGACGAAAGTATGAATAGATAATCCAGTATAAATTAAAGGGGGGAAAGGGGGCAAACAAATCATACTTTCGAGGAATCAGAACCATGATGTACTGATCCTATCGAAGTTTACGCTTTGTTCCACTCGAGTCCACTTTTTCAATCAAATCTGCCCTAAGTGGTCGTACCTATTTATAATTATACTAGAAATTCAAATTTGTTCTGTTTTCCCCCGATGCTACAGTAGTATTCAGATCTAAATTCAACAAAAATAAGAGGAAAAATGATAAGAGGGATTCAAGTTCGGGTACTTGGGGTGCCAGGAAGTTCATCTCTTTGGAGCTTCCAAATCCATGGACAATGATTATCTTGTGCTTGGCTTTCTCCTTGGGGACGCCAAACTCTCTGTAAGCCAGATACCTTCCGTCGCGGAGCCTGATTCTAGGAGAAACCAAGGGGAGGTCATCATTGGAGGGGTCATCAGTACGACTGGGAGGAGGAAGCTGAGTGGCCTGATAAACCATGCCCAGAAGACCGATAAGCAAAACTATGGCTGCTCTGGAGACCATCCCTGAAGAATTAAAGGGTAGATCTAGCTGGGCTTCCTTTCCAATTTTTAGAAGGGGAAGAAGGGAAAGGGTCTAGGGTAAAGAACGATTATGACAAACCTGACAAAAATTGAATCTGCAGAGACAGAAGAGGGTGCGCTTTTGACAGATGGATCTAAGCATAATAGCCTGTTAGGAGAATCGAATATCAAGCCAGGATGAAAAAACAGAGGAAGAGGAAGGCGGAAAAAAGGAGGGATTGGGTGGTCATTTGACTGAGTTTGAGACGGTCATATTTGGCTTACCAGAGCTGGGAGGATATCCCTCCTGAAGGTTCCCATTTGAGAGCATCTTTCTCGCCCCTCTCTCTCTCCCCCCCGGTGTTGTTTCAATTGCGGCTCCGGCGTTCTTTGCTCTCCGATATTTCCATTTCACAGCTTGCCCCTTCTATCCTTCGCATTATTTATTTTCCAAATCCCCGCAATCAAGCTTGTTCTTTTTTAACGTTTCTGTGCACCAAAATATATATATATATATATATATTAAATTTTCAGCGGGATATTTTTTTTGAAAAAATATCAATATGTTGAAGAAAATTTATATAAGTCAGTAATTATTTATTATTAAAATTTAAATAAATATTTATTAATTTGTGTTAGTTTTTTATCAATAAACATTCATTATAGTTTTAATAATAATTCATTCTAAATTAATAACAATTCATTCAAGTTTATTTTGTATTCATATTTTGACAATAACTCATCCTTGATTAATATAAATTTTTTTCAACGATTCTTAAATGTTATTTTTTCTGTTTTTTTTCTAAAATTTAATTAACTAGAATTCCCCCAAATTTTATCATACATGGTACAAAATATTGTAATTTTGAAAACATTAATATGTTAGATATCAATATAATGACTCTTTCATTTTTAATTTTGTAAAACCTTGTAGGTATACTCTTTTCCTAATTATTTAATATGAGTTATTTATTATATATTATTTTATCATTTTATAATGATTATAACATCGAAACTTAATTATATCATAACTTTGTAGATAATAATGAATAAGAGAGTATATAAAAGAAATGGATTTCTCTCATAATAAATGAAAACAGCCATAGCTAAAGATTTTCATTGATAAAAAGATATAACAGAACAATCTAAATTTCAATATGCAATTTGATCTATAAAAAAGTTTTCAATGTTTAAGAAAACAGAATTTATATATTATTGGTGTGAGTTCCTTTGGTGTGACACTGTATTGTCAAGTAATTGTTTCTGATCTCACATGCTAATAACTATTATTATATGAAATTTTATAAAATTGAAAAACATTAACAAGAGAAAAACTAAGAGAGAAAGTGAGTTACCTGTACGAGGACAATTGCTTAAGATATTTATTATTTCATAATTTATAAGTAACATGTGCTCTTCATTAAAAAAATATAAGACATTTTTTAGGATTTAGATAATCAAAATATAAAGTATTTTTTAGTATTTCAAGATATAATTAATGTGTGTTTTTTTAAGTATTCATGATAAATAAATCACTTTATATTTATTTTAGAATGAAATACTATATTAAATGAGGATAAGTATGAAAAAAATGGTATTAGTTTAAAGATAACTAATTACTTTATTAGGGAGGTGATTTGGTTAAAAATGCCTTGAGTATTTCATGATCCATAATACTAAATTTATTATTTTAGAATTTGGCAGATAAAAGAACTATATTTAGTTATTATGCAAGGAAAAGACAAATTGATATGAGGAAATTATACATCGAACACTGAAGGTAAATTAACTAACAAACATTGACGAGGGAAGTAAGTGTGAGCAAATTAGATTATTAGACGTAATAATTAATTTTTATCCATCCATGAATCAAAATTTATAGAATAATTTGTTTTATTTTATATGTTTTCACCCTGTAGATATGGCAACCATAAATAACATATCTCGTGTATGTTAAAAAAATAAGGAATAATTTAATATTTCAAGATTTGTTATCCCTAGGTAAATTAAAATATAAACAATAAAATATTTTAATTTATAAATTGTTATTTAGATTAGAACTTGACTCTACGATTTATTATCTTATGTATTTTAAGTAACAAATAAAAAAAAAAGTGAGATTCATGAAATTCCATCGTCTTTAAAAATAGGTAAGATGGAGATGGATGATTTTTACTGTGAATTTTATATTTATGATCACTCAAAAAAACGATATTTTAAAAATTATACGAGTTCAACAATTTTTAAAATTTTTTTATCTAAGTCAGCTTATTCAATATTTTCGAAAGATTTGAGGATGATTTCCAATTAACACAGCACACGGATCATGAACTTAGAGCCGTTGATTAACTCTATTCAATGGTAGATATTCTTTTATCAAGTTTCTATTTCCTGAATCCTTGTCTTCCACTTTGTCTCTGTCTCACCATGGGGAGCAAGGAAACATTTTTTCACCTCACCGTTTTTGACTATCCAAAACTTTTCCTTCCTTGCTCTCTGTCTTGCCATCTCTCAAAAGCTTCGTCTCAAAACAATTGTGAAAGAAATGTGTAGGAAAGGCAAATATTGAAGATGAATGGAATTGATACAATTATTGTGACACTAAGCAAAAGCATGTGTTGTGTCATATAAACTTTGGAGTACTTGCAAGCTACAATAGAGCTATATACATAAAAGGTAAACAAGAGAAATCAAAATACAAAAGCAAAAGTACAACACAAGGTGTTTCAAGAGATGATTTCATGTAGGTTTCTTTTTCATTGACTTAGGTTTTGCCATGGGCTGTTTGTTGAGATCGAATTCGAACGCATGGCAGCTTTATCAAGTGTTGGGAGCAAGAATTTCTCCTCCAGCGATGGCAACGAGAATGTTTTTTCCTTATCCATATGGAATTGCCGATGCTTTGGGAAGGTTGAAAAAGGAGTGATCACAATAGAGAGGTGGAGTTGATGAAGGTAATGCCTATGAGTTATGAGGCATATTGCTATGATTTATTTATAAACAATTGTGGGAGCGGGATAAGCGTGGAGGGAATGATAAAAGGTTATAGGAGGACATGGAGGAAGCAAGAAGAGCAGAGCAACAATGTCCGGAGTATATTTGCGAGGGAATTGATATATTCCTTATATATTAAATAATTTAAATTAAAGTTCATGGCATGGAGAAGCAGAATCAACTTTGCAAAAAAGAAGATGCGCTGGTGGGAGAAAGAATAAATGCAGTGAAAAATAAAGGAGATGAAATTGAAATTTATTTTAATTGAGTTCATAAAACAAAAATGTCCATAAAGAGAAGCCTAATGTAGCAGGATTACGAAGTAGACTATGATTTACTGTAATAAACCCCACTGTCTTAGTCTATAAACTATTAAATTAATTAAACACTGTTTAAAAGGCTGTTGTCTTACAATAATATATCATTACAGCTTTCAATATGAGTAGATTGATTGATTTCTACGGAAAGTCAAATCGGTATTCTTAAAAAATAAAAACACTCAACAAAATTTTCGATCATGTAATCATTATTTTTATTTTTACAAAAGAGCGTGACATATCCAAATTTGTTGGAAGGGAAAAAAAAAAAAACCTCAATCTCATGTTTGTCATGACGCGGTTAGAAGATTTAGAATTCAAATCCTGTTGAATCAAAACAAATTGACTATACTTTTAAAAAAGTTGAGTATGAATTAAATTCATTCTTTGAGCTCAAATTTTACAGTCTAGCCTAAATAATTATGTATCACGGCTTTAAAATGAACCTTGCAATTTTTAGTGTAATTCTTCCTGTCCTTAATTTAAGACGAAATTAAAGTAAATGATATTTTTTAAATTTTATCCTTTATTTATTGTTTGTCTTTTAAATTCCAAGGCAATTAGTTCTTACGGTCATCACTTATAAAAAAAGGATAAAATTGAAAAGTTAAATTTTTTCACAATTTCAATATCATAATTGACATTTTTTAATTGTTCATTGTTTGTTAATTTTATTTTAGGACTAATGGGTGAATAAGACCTTCAATTCTTACTTGAAAATTACCCTAAATCCTGAACTCTTTAAATATATAAAATAATTCTAAATTTTTAAATTTATAATAAAATAAACCCTAACTATTAACCTTTTTAATACAGTTACTGTCCACATAAATACTGTAACAGTCATTGTTAAATTCGTAGAGAAATAAGCTTTGAATAGTACCTGCATGGACAGTAACAATATTAAAAAGTTAATGATCAAGGTTTATTTTGTTATAAATTTAAAAATTTAAAATTTATTTTACATATTTTAAGAATTCAGGATTCAAAGTAATTTTCGAGGGTCCTATTCATTTATTAACCTTTTATTTTATATTAAAGTATTCTTTCCACATTTTTCTCATAAGCAACACTTTATAATGATTTAAAAAATAAAAATATTAAAGAAAGGCAGAGGCTCGCAGATTCGGACTCTAATGTGACTTGCGAGATCATACAGAAAAGAGGCATTGAGAGTTGTAGAAAACATCTGAAGTCCCAAAATATTTTATCTTGATCTTGGAAGAACGCAATTTGTGGAGCAAGCTGTCTCGTTAAAATAAAATATTCAATATTTTCATTTATTTGGATGCCTGTTTACATAACAAAAATGATTCGAATGCTCCTTTTCTCTCCCTTGCATAGATAACATAGCACTAACCGGAACCTTTTGAGAATTGAGAGTTCAAACAAAGAGTTACGCCCGTTGACCATGAATCCCTTGAAGAATATGTTCTCTCATAAACAAATGGGTGAGGTTTAGAATGGGTAATTCCAGTCAAGCTTGACAACAATCTTAAATGAGTTCACAAAAATTTAGAATTGAATTTAATAAAATAACACATTTTTAATATTTAGGCTAGTTCAAATATGCTAAAAAACCCTAATAATACTTTAACTTTAAAATAATGATAGTTAGAGTTTCAGAAGTTTAAATTAAGGACAGTTAGATATTTGATAACATGTTTTAAAAAAATAAGTTATAAATATCAATTCACGTAGTTACGAATAGAAATTCTTATTACAATATAAAAATTATATTAAATACTTAAATATATTTTTTCAATTAAAACTCCTAAATTTATTTAACATTTTGCTATCATTCTCTCTTTAACTTTTTATAAAAAATATATATAAATATATTAAATATTAATTAGTCTTTTAATTTTTGATTCATTTTATTCTTAAAGAATTATATATTTGAGCACATTATCTTATGCATTTTCTTTAGAAAATTTAAAATATTAATATTTTTATATTTTTTATTATTTTTAATCTACAAAGTATTATTTAAAATGTATTTAATCTTGATTTTTAAACTTCAAGACTCGTGATTTTTTACACAAAATTGAGTCTTCTACAAAAAGTATTCTAAAAAGTATATTTTATATTTTTATTAATAATAAAAATAATTATCTTTAAATTAAAATTTGAATTTTTAAAACAAAAAAGGGAAAAAAAATAAATAATTCAAGTATTTGGGATAGTTTAAATAAGCCGAAGCTTAAGATTGTTTGGGCCAGCTCATCTAAATTACCAACTTTAGTAAGGTCTAGTAGAATATATTAGTTTCTAAAAATGTAATGAAACAATGTTTGAATTCGAGTTGGGAAAGGTGCTCATGTTTAGTGTCTAACTATGTCTTAAATAGAATTATCTCTAATAGAAAAATGCCTAGAGATAATATATATATATATATATATCTCCTATTTTTGTGTTATATATAATTTTTTTAGATATAGTCAATATCAGCATGACATGTAAAACTGGGTAAGTGGTCAGAAATACTCACAAAGTAGTTAGCCATGAGTACCCAGTATCATAAAGTAGGAAAAAGGCAAAAATTAATAGTTTGATCACTTTTGCACCCATCCCATGTAACGTTATGGCTATTTTTGTCATTTTTCTCACTTTATAATATTGAGTATTCCTGACTAACTACTTTATGAATATTTTTATCCTTTTGCCTCATAAAAATTTACACAACAAGCTGTGGTATTCACAAAAACTTAACAATGTAACTCATGATCTGAAATTTAACCATGACGTGTGCAACAATGGACTTTAATTTTGTTCAATAACTATAAAGTTGAACAATTTTATTTTAGTATGGACCTTTAAATGTTTTTTTTTATTGGGATGATTACTGATTATTGGGTCACAGTGGGGACGAATCTAAAGCATCAAGAGAGCAGTGGTGGCCCCGGCTGGTTCCCACAACAGTAGCATGCCTATGGGAATGAACCCAGAAATTAGAATATTCCTTGGAGTTTCTTGCTGGATTGTTCTGGCAATTCGATGGCAACGCATTTATTTGCAAATTTGTGTCCTACTGTATCAAGCAAACCTGGGGTCATGAATCAAAGAGAATCATCAACCAGGAGTGAGAGAATATCTGTGTTCAAAGAATTGATTGTTTTTGGGGGAAAGGAAAATACAAGCCACATGCAGGTGGCGCCACTGGCTAGATTGGAGGTTAATTATTATTATTATTATTACATTAAACCCTTGAAAAGAGATGCGAACAAGTGTCGAGGCAAAATTTTATCAAACAATCAAGGGAGAAGTGTTGTTGATTTATTTGATTGGCTAAAAGTAGGCAGGAAAAGGTCAGGGGGAAAAGAGTGGTCAGCCTAGTTTTATTGTTTTCTGCTCCCAACAATTCTCTCGCTCGTTCGCCAGAAGCCAAAAATCTGACACACACATGGGGCGCACCCAAAATCTTGGCATTTTCCTGCCCCCTCGTTCCCAATTTACAGAACATTTTTGTGATAACATTTTATTAATGAAAAAACTTATATATTTAAAATTTTTGTTTTTAATTTAATCACAACATATATATTCTTTATATATTATTTATTCTATAACAAATTTTTATTATAAATATTATTAATACATTAAATATATATATCTTAATTTAATTAGATAAAAGTATATTAAATATATAAAAATAGATATATAAATCTTGTCATTTATTAATAATGTTTTTTAAATTACTATTTTCAATATATTCTCTCTCTATTTAATTCTTTGATAAATGTAGTTTTAAATAATATTTTTAAAAATTTATATTTTATTTTTTTAAAAAATAAGGTTATAAAGTGTAGGCTATACAACATTTTATTTTAGTTTTTTTAGTCTTTTAACTCTAACACCATTAGTTTTATTCAAATAAATTTTTGCATTAAATTTTAAAATATTGATAAAATATTCTCAAAAATTGACATATTAGATTTAGTTCTTTGCAAAATAATACCGATTGACACACAAAAAAATCATTTAAGGCTAACGATGTTAAAGTTACAGGACTAAAAAGATACTTTATAAAATTAAATGATCAAATTAAAATATTTTATAAAATTAGAGGATAAAAGTATACTTTAGCCTAAAGTATATTTAATGAGTTTTATTGATATACATGATTTTATTTAAAAGTATCTTATAAATTAAGATGTAGGTAATGTGTCCTATTAGATTATTTAAGTGTGAAAACTTAAGATGATGTGGGAAGCCATGCATTAGATATAGTTAAATTTAATAACTAATGTAAAGTCAAGATAAATGATCCATAAATTTAAACATTAAAGTTTTAAGTTTAGATGTAACATATAGCTTAAATTAATAAATTTCACATATCAATAAAATTTAGTTGTATGTGTGTATTTTTTTACTTGTTTACCCCTAATCTCAACCATCGATGATAAATTAAATAAGAAGGAGAGTATATATATCAATAACTTTTTAACAAGAGATGTCATGTGAGAAAGTCAAAACCATATAAAAGTCGAGGAAAAATACAACTAAATTTCTGTACTTTATTAACATTTTATTATTAATTTTTATATTTTTTAAATATTTTTGGTTCATATATTTTTATTTTTTTATTATTTTGGGTCTCTCCATGAAAAAAATATAAGGACCTTAGAAGAATCTAAAATAATAAAAAAATAAAAGTATAGGGACCAAAAATATTAAATAAAAATACAAGGATTAATGACAAAATGCAAGCAAAGCACATAAATTTAAAATTATATTTTTTAAAATTTAATTAATAGAGTGAGATGGATGTGATAAATTATCACCATCGCCTCCTTATAAAATTAAATGGAATATATTTTTAAAATTTTTACTTTATTTTAAAAATAAGATTATAAAGTATATTTAATAAATTTTATTAGTTACATGATTTTGTCCAAATTATCTTATAAATTGGGATGGGCATATGCATTATTGAAAAAATTTACCTTTATTAAAAAGTATAATTAAGTTAATATTGTTAAATACACTGTTATCGTGCCAACTAATACAGCACAAGTTTTTTATTAAGAAGTTCGGAGAAAGTATTTATTTAAGCTTCTATTTAAAACTTGATAGTTTTTTTTTTCTTGGTTACTCTCATAAGTATTCTTGTATGAAAGCAATCATATTTAAAACATTATTAAATATTAAATGTATGTAACTAATTAATAACATTCTTCTCTCCAAGTGTAACGAGTTGAATAGGAAAATAAATAAGAGGTGCACGATGGTCAAAGTGAGTTTAAAAATGTTATTGGGCTATCGTGTGGCGTGTATATACCGCATACTCGAGTTCCTTTGGAGACATTTTATAAAATTGGAACGATACAGGAAAAATTAGCATAATTTCTGCACAAAATTGACACACATAAATCAAGAATGACATTTTATGATATGTTGGATTCTTCAATTCTAGTAAATTCAGGCTGTCAAATTAGACGGCACTGCCCTCAAGAGAAGGGACTGGGCTTGTTTGATCATAATAATTTTTTAGACCTTGCTTGATTTTGAATGGAGAGAAAAAGGGAAAAGTAAGGAAAAATAATAAGTATGTTTTAAAATATTAAATTAATATTAGTTAAGTTTCTAACAATGGATTATAAATATTATTCCTTCCATTTTAAATTATAAGACACTTTTAGATAAAATTTAACGTCCTAAAATATAAGACACTTTGATAAAAATAAAATTTTATTAATGATATTTTTTTTAATATTACCACTCTCATATATTCTCTCTATTCATTATTCAGTATCATTTCTTCAATAGAGTATTAAATTACTAGTATTTTTAAAAGTTTATATTTTTATTTTGAAAAAGTAAGGTTGTAAAATATATTTAATGAGTGTTATTAATATATGAAATTTTGTCTAAAAGTTTTTTATAATTTGAGATGGAGGAAGTAATTTAAATAGTTATAAATAAAAATTTCAATTACAATCTAAAAGTTACATTTGATATTTAAATATTTGATTATAATTGAAACTTCTAGATTGATAATAATTTAAATCAATATTTTTAACTTATTTTTAAAAAAAATTATAGAAAACTTAATTAGTATTAATTTAGTATTTTGGAACATAATTATTATTCTCCTGAAAAGTAGGAAGAGAATGGGCGACATGGAACAATAGAAGTTAAGACTGCAAAAAAAAAAAAAAACAACACTGCATTTTTTATTACCATTCTTTACTAATTTTCTTTCTAATATTTTTCTTCTTCTAATCTCTTCTCATCCTAATTAAAGTTCCATGTTATTTCTTCGATGAACATTCTGAAGTAAGAAAGATTTGCAGATTTTCAAAGTATTTTTGCAATAGACTAATGTTTTTTCCTTTTATAAGCTAACTTTTGCTTTTAGCTAATTAACTTTTGAAATCAAGAGCCCTTTTAGAAACTAATCATGCACTTAACAACCCGCTTAGTTCAACTGCACACCCTCTTTGTAATACAATGTAATATTGATTGCTGTAAGCCTGTTTGGGTTGTCACCATGGTGATTGAAAAAATATATTTTTCAAAAAAAATTAATTAAATTAAAAGTAATAAAATGTCTAAAATATTCCTCGAAGGGATAAAAATTCTAACCCCTCTCTTGTGGTCTTCTCCTGTTCCACCATCAAAAAATGGTCAGAAAACAACAATTAACACAAGTTTACTAAAAGAAATCAGGAGATCAAAGCAAATCTAGTCAGAAATAACATTTTGACATTTCATCCTCCTTCAATCCCCAGCCAGCATGCTCATCAAGCAACTCCATCACCTTTGAAAGTTGAAACCCCATCCTCACTCTCGCTCAACCGAACCCCTTGATTCCTCAATTATCACTCCCTCGTACTTCATGGCTCCATTCTCTGTACCCTTTTACGTGCAATCACATTCTCTATCTTCCAGTTTATACCTACGGCTTTGTCTACTAAAATCACAATCATCGACTCCAAGCTCTGGACACCACTTTCAGAGAATTCGATTGTGACGAGTAGTCATAAATGTAAGGAGGGAATGAAGAAAGACAGTGCTAACGATAGTGGAAGGTAGCAGAGAAGGATGGTTGGTGTCACTAGCATTGCCACCGCAAAGGTCTCGATAGTCTTGCAGCAGATTCGCTATCTCACGTGTTGATGGCAAGAGGCTTAAATGGGGAAGGAAGAAGGGAGAAGGAGAGGAATTAGGTATTGCCATTGGTGGTGGTGAAGAGTCATCGATGATGGGGAAAGGTGAGGAAGGAAGGAGACGTCTGAAAAGCATGTTCAAAAATAGAGGGTATTTTTGGAACAAGGCAATAATAACGGTAATGAGTATTCGCAGGGGGCACCCTGTGAATCCTTATTACATTTATTTGGTAATCGAGGTTGCCATTTTCAATGCTAAATGCCAACTAAACACGCATTTATATGGAAATGGGGTTTGAATTATCGTCAATTATCGTTGTAGGGTGATAATGGGATTGAACCAAACAGACTTTTAATATTGAGCAAAACACATCCTATAATGACTTATGAGTTAAAGGCCAAATTGGTATTTTTCTTTTCTTTCTTTTGCATTCTTATTATTAGAATTTTTAAATTTTAATTGAAAAATAATAAGATTCAGACGTTTTAATAATTTAATATGTTTAAAATGTTAAAAATAAAAGTTGTACTTCCAAGTTCAAAATCAAAACATGAATATATAAATTCAATCATTGAGTTACAATTTAAAGTAAAAAAATACAACCACAACTTCAAATCAGGTGCACAATAATTATAAATAATTTCTAAATTACTAGTGTAGTAATAATAGAATAATTGAGTTACAAAATTTATTGCCTGTTTGGTTAAGCAGTGAAAGTCCATACAATCCTATTTAAGTCCATGTACGTCACTATGAAGCCCATTTGTATAGTTCAGGTAATTTTTTGAAAAAATTCCCGATCAATTGTGATTTAGATTCTTTACCACACATTTAATGTAAGCCATCAAGAGGTGCTTTTGCTTTGAAAAAAAATAAAATCATGATTTGAGTCTTTAGCAATTGAAACATCTTCCATCTACACTCCATCGTCTTCTCCTGCTCTCTCTCAATTCATTTTTCTTACATCTTCTCAACAATAGTTAAGAATCTATAGTCCCTCAGCTTCTTTTCAAGCAACGATGTGGGAACTACACAAAGAAGCATCGAAAGTATTGTTTGAAGGTTTGTTTTCTCTTCATCTTCTCGCCTGTGTATCTTCACCTATTTACTTATCGTCCTTGTACACTTTGGGTTTTAGATTTTAGGTTTGAATATTTTCTTATCACCTTCTTTGTTTATTGGGATCTCCCAAATATCAAACACAACATTAAATCATTAGCTCTTTCTCTTAAGTTGAAATATTTGACACTGTTACATATTAATATTTGTATATATATAAATATATATATATATATATATATGTTGACAAAAAAATATATACACTAGATAAATAAACTATTTCATGTTAATAAAAGAAACGATTATAATACATATATTATACTTAGGATGGAAAGGGGTATTTCGAAAGTAATTTCATGTTCCATCCCAAACCAATTTTTTATCCCGTCTCTTTTTTCCCTAGCCAGGATAGATTTGTTTTGATATGATGGGGACAAAGTTGGGTTGACCAAGATGGGATGACCAACATGAACTTCTCTTTTATTACATAATGCTCAAACTTAACCATGTCATGCTTTGTTAGAGTTAGAAGAGTCTCAATTGTTTCAAAATCTTATCAATTAATCACATATGCTTGCATTCTTTATCTCAATTATGGCAGAATAATCATAAAGTGGAACCAATTTCAATGCTTACTATACAGATAAACACCGACAGCTCATCATTCATGAATTGATTTAATATGGACAGTTTAGATTTAAAGTTTTTTACTTTATTTTTTTAAAAAAATTATTTTAATTGATACAAAATATAAAGTAAACACAATATATTAACCGGCAGTTTTTTTTTTAAAAAAACTATTTAAAAAACACCTGTTAAAAACCTGCGATCTTGGACCGTGAAATTTAAATCTAAACAATCCAAAAGTGATGGGCTCTCAACGATCATCTATGCAATGAGCATTAAAACTAATTCCACGTCAAGTGGCGTGAACTTCATTTTGATATCAAATTTCTTATTTTCTTGTAAATCAAGCCGAGCTATAACGACAGTGTAAATTGGTCATACAGAAAGCCGAAGTCAGACTCGGGGAAATAATTTTTCTCGTCAAATTGAGCTGGACTTCACTTCGGGCCTGCAAAGCCAGGGACCTTTTGAAATTCCACTTCCAATCCAATCACTGTAATGGACAAACAAGAATTCAATTAACGCGATCCACTCCACGTTTAGGTTCGAACGTTCCCCTCTCAATCAATCAATTTATTAGACATTTGTGTGTGTATGTAACATATTTATCCGAATCATAATGTAAACTATTTTTTAAAAACTTTACTTAATTTAAAATATAATACAATGGATAGGTTACATATAAATATTTCAATTATATATTTACTTTATTATATTTTATTAAATAATTATGGAAGATATTTTGAAGAAGTTAAATATTATATTTATTCTGCTTAAAGGTATGGTTAAAATTATGTAAAAAGATTTAAAAAGTTAATATTTTAACCAATTCTTTTTAAGAAATATCAATTAGTTAGCAATGCTTTGTATTACCAAAAGGATGGACTATATACAAAGTTTGTAATTCTCTGGAGTTTTTCTTTCCCGGGAGGTGCTGGACTTGGAAATTGGAATGCATGGCCATTTTTTTAAAATTTAAAGGCAGGTGGTAACAAACATAAAAAAAAAAAGTAGGAAAAGGCCAAAAATAAAAAATAAAAAATAAGTGAGGGGAAATGATAATTAACGACCCTTGGAGACAATTAATTATGCTATAAAATTAAATGGTTCTGATATTACTCGATCAAATTAAAGTACCTATCTTTGTAGTGAAAAGACAAAAATATCATTCATGTATATATCATTATACTCTTTTAACAACATCTAACCATTCAGGGAAAAAAATTTTCATTCACATTTTAACAACAATAAATTTTTTTATTAACAACTTTAAAAAATTAACTTAGTAATGGAGAGGAGTAAGTGCTATAATTTAGTGAATAAGTTCTCATTTGAGAAAAAATAAGTTCTATTTTCATTCTAATAGCAACAAATTTTATTATTAATAACTCTAAAAAATTAACTTGGAGGTGGGAAAAACGAGTGTTGTGATTTGGTGAATAAGTTCTCATTAAAAAAAAACTAGTCATATTTTCATTATAACAACAATTAATTCCTTCATTAACAATTATAAGATATTAATTTGGTAGAGAAATTGTTATAATCTAGTGAACAAGTCTTCATTTAAGAAAAAATAAGTCTCATTCTCATTTTAAT